ATACTCGCATACATTTCCCTCTTTGCTTCCATAGACAAAGTTCTTTGTCTCCACAGACTCCTAGGTGCACCACTCACTTTTTTTCCTCTCATCAATTCTATGATTCACCTCATCTTTCATAGACCCATCTGCTGACACATCCACTCCTAAATATCTGAATACATTCACCTCCTTCATATTCTCTCCCTCCTATCTGATATCAAATCTTTCATTACCTAATTTTTTTGTTATCCTCATCACTTGCTCTTTCCTATATTCACTTTTAATTTTCTTCTTTTACATACCCTACAAAACTCATCCATCAACCTCTGCAACTTCTCTTCAGAATCTCCCAAAAGCACATTGTCATCTGCAAAGAGCAACTGTGACAACTCCCACTTTGTGTTAGACTTTTAACCCCACATCTCTTACCAACACCTGAGCATTCACTTCTCTTACAATCCCATCTGTAAATATATTGAGCAACCATGGTGACATCACACATCCTTGTCTAAGGCCTTCTTTTACTGGGAAATAATCTCCCTCTCTCCTACATACTCTAACCTGAGCCTCGCTATCCTCGTAAAAGCTTTTCACTGCTTTCAGTAACCTACCTACCTATTCCATACATTTGATACATTAATTGGGACCATTTAAACCTGAACCTTACATAAGCAACATGGGAAGATGTATGAGTAACATGGATTCTTACCAGTGTCCGGAGAGAATGACTTTATAATAGCATTGAAAATATCACCGAAAGTATGCTCCAGATATACTACTATGAACAAAATGGAAGAGGCAAGTTAGGAAGAGAGAGAGATGTTTCCTCTACAGAACTCCTCAAAGGTTCTACACTTGAAAAATGAAAAGAAATGCTAGTTCAAGAAATAGGAAACATTGTGCTTAAACTGAATATATCATGTCCAGGGCACTGACAGTAGCATAGAAAATAGAGGGTGGAAGGGGCTAACCAAATTAAAAGTGGTAGAGAAATCCCAAGTCTGGGAGGTTATACTATTAGTTGTTTATGTGACCCTGTACACAGAAATATTTTGACTGTATATACATATTTTAATATAACTAAACTGGGTTCTTAAACCTGGGAAGATTTAATGCAGAGTTTTCCTACTTGCTGATTCAGCCTTTTTGCAATACAACATTTGTGATAATTGCTCATTTGACTTCTATTGTAATAGAGGTGTGTTGGGTCAGAATGATTATTTTCACTTATTTAAGAGCCATTATGCTAAGTAATTTTATATTAAAATTAAATTTAAACCTGTTAACAAATGATTTTATTTATTAGTAAATTTTCAAGTAGATGACAACTCTCACTGTCTTTGGTATTCAGTAGAGGCATGTCTCAGCTGCAGTTATTCCATTTCTTTCTGTTATTTTCCCTGACCATGTTTGTTTCTCTAAGTGCTAAGCCAGGGACCCCAGTCCTCTCCATCTGCACCAAAGCATCCTCTACCATTCATCTGGAAGGCTGTGACAGGAGGTGATACCTCTTCTGCGTCCCAGTATCCATTGTGGTAAACACACACTTGATCATCACGGGGGAGATACGTATATACATATATATATATATATATATATATATACATATGCAGTGCTGTATATACATACACTAAAGTTAGGCAAGAAAGGATTATTCTTAAATTTCTTTCTTTAAAAAAACTGTATGCTGATAACAAATACTCATGAGAGGCAGTGGCCTGTGTTCCCTATCAGCTGTTTTGCAACAAACGACTTAGTGTTAGTTTTGAGTTGATGTCACTGCTGTTTATTGTCAGTGGTTCTTTTGCAGAGCTTGTCAAAGGAATGGCATTGCACTTCAAACTTTTCCCCTTTACTTCATGAAAATAGTGTTTTATTTATATTGTATATTAGTATTTTTTATCTTGTGGTTTCAGGCATTCATTGAATATCCTTGATATGTTGTTTCTTAACAAATTAGTTTTTCATATACCATAAGAGGTTCCACATGGTTTCATAATCACAAGTAATTGATAAAATTTCATTATGCCTGGATTTTGACAGTTACATTCTAAATTGGATGAAATAAATGCAAATAGTGCATAACAAGTAAGGAAAAGTACTATTAATTTTTTAAATCGATTCTGCAAATGATTAATGGTATGTTTTACCATTGTATTCTGCAATTCATGACATCAGTTTAACAGACTAAAAATTATATGACAAATATAAGACCAAACATTTGTTCAAAAATCTCCACCAAAAAAAAAAAAAAATGAACAAAAAATTGAACTTACACTGTAATTATGAATTCATAAAATACCATTTTATTCAAAAATATTACATGGATGGCTATTGATTTTACGGATATTCATTAAAATGCTGATGTGGAGCTTTGCATGATATGAACCTTTAAAAATCATTGAAACTAGACATCAGATTTTAACTGCTAGTTTTTCTTTGCAGTTATAAGAACTAGACAGCTTAATATTGTTAATGATTGTATTACAGTCTTCTATTTTATTATAACCAAAGTATTGATTTGTAATGTCTCAGTTACTCTTAATATTATGGATTATAAAAAAATACTGACATTACTAAATAAAATGGGGCTTGCATTGATATTTTCCCCTTTTCAATAGCTCTGCTTGTGTTTGGGATGCTATTCTCATAATTCCCCTGATCAGTCGCACATTTCATTTTATGTTTGTCCCTGGCTCTCATATTAGCTTTCTTGGAATGCTTAAGGCTTTTAGGGCTATCTTTTAAGTTGCTAAATGCTGCATGAGCTACCCAACATCTGTTGTCTTATTTTTATCCTCCATCAGTATCCAGCATTATGACTTTCTTTCACTATGAGGATTTTTTTTTTTTTTTCATTTCACAGTTTACTTGTTCCTTTTTTTTTACGTTTTTTTTTTTTTTCATTTATCTTTGAGCTACATTGTGAAAGCTTTAGCTTGCCAAATATTGGCCTCCAGTTATTCCTTAACAAAAATAGAAGTCAGTTAATATCAGCCAAGTGCACACCATGGAGTCAAATATCTTTAAAAAACTGTTTTATTAGATTTTATCTTCTGGACAATTAACAAAATTTTATTTCAATATTATATAAAATGTATCAGAAAATAAAATTTCTCAAGATATTTAAAAATGATATAATCATAGCTCTGGGAGGTCCAGGGCTAAAGTGAATTGTTACTCTAACACATTTTTTTGTACAGAGTAAAACATGGTCCTTGTAGATTTTTTTTTTTTTTTTTTTGTAGTTTATATAATGCCCTTTTTATCGTGAATTTTCTGAAGAGGGTAAAGTGACCCAGCAAAAAAAAATCATTCATTATCATTAGCTCTCTGGCTGCTTTTCTAGACGAGTACAGACAATGTAATTCATTGTAATGTGTGCAACATCTGAGTAACTTTATTGTAGACACTTCGCCATCCAGTGGCTTTATCAATACAGATTCTAGGGCAACTTGAAGACAGTAGAACTATATACAAAAGATGAGGTAATCAGTCCTAAGTGTTGAGTTGGTGTGAAGAGTACAGTAATCGTAGAGATTCTCAACAATTACGTGCTCTTCGCACCAACTCCAAGGCTGAGAGACTGATAACCCTATCTTTTGTATATAGTTCTACTGTCTTCAAGTTATGTCCTAGAATCTGTATTGATAAAGCCACTGGATGGTAAAATGTCTACAATAAAGATACCCAGATGTTGCACATAGGTCTAATTTTCATCTTGTTGGTATTGTATACCATTCATGTACAATGTGGTTCATTGTTGAACCACATCATCCTGAACTGACTTCCAAAACTCAAACCCAGCTAACTGGGTTTGAGTTTCACAGATAGTACCTTGCTCACACTTCATCAGCACATCAAATCTAAAAGACCACAGACCTAACATGCCTGCTGGAAGTTCACTCTTTTGTATCTCAAATATTTAATTTCACTCTCCCTCATACCCTTCCTTCAGTGTCCTTGACACCTACCTTTTCAAGGATATGTACGCCTAGAGTTGTGTGATCTCTGTATATATGCACTGAGAGTTAAGTTTGATCTCCATTTTAGGAATTAAAGTATCCTTGAGTAATGGTGTTCAAGTTACTTGCAGTTAATAGGCAAAGCCCAGCAAATCAACTATCCTACATTATTTCACACCTAGATTATATACCTCCTTAGCTTGGCTTGCTTCAGTCTTTCTACATGACCAAACCCTCTCTTCCATTCTTTGAATTATGCTTGTCATGCCACTACTTCATCTAATTTTTACATTCCTTATTATCTGCATAATGTTTACACCAACCCCTTTCATTGGGGTGCCTTGATAATAGTAAAAGGGCTCTTGATCCAAGGAAATAGAGCTACCCTCTGTTTAGATCTAAGCTAATTACTTCCTATTCCTCATGGAATGCTTATGGATTTTGAACATCCCATTATAATAATAGTAATGTTAATCTTACGTTAGGCAATATTGCAAAATTTTGTTTATTTTAGTGATAATACTGTATATTTTTTTTTTTTAATTTCAAATTGGCCTTAAAATTGTGTAGTAGAAGGACCCTTAGAAGTTTAGAGTTTTTTAATATAATAATTACCTAATTAAAACATTGTAATAAGAACAGTTTATAAGCTTTGAGGTTGCATCCGTCAACTTCATAGAGATATTTGACTCTTCCTATACATAAATAGTTAAGGTTATAATGTAGCGTGAAAATGAGCAAATATAATCAACTTCTGGAAGTGATTAGTGAGAATGATCATGCAACTTTTGAAAGCGGGACACTATTGTACCTTGCACCTCTTGTATTCTGTTATTTATTTTGCATTGTTTCACTTTAAACTGGTATGTGCAGTTTGTGTGGCACACAGTTTTACTGCTTAACACAAGATAAGTGAATTTTTGGCTAGCCATCCCATCAGTAGATGTTATAAGCTTACAGTTTTTCTGAAATGTTCACAGTTGAAAAGCCCCCACAGTTGTGCTCTGATCAAGTGTGTGATATTCATTAATGATGCTTCCCCTTGTGGACCAGTACAATGCATTTCAGATCAAAGGTCTGAAGAAACTGGAGAACTTCCTGCGTAAAGAAGAGGATATGGACTCGTGGCGGAAAAATGCATCACCAGAAGAAGTAGAATACATGGAAATCCAGTCGGAATTAGAGAAGGAATTGCATCAGTCACATATCAGGTTGGTCATCTCATGTTTGAAATAAGCAATGATAGGTTTTATGACCAAGGTTCCAAATTTCAAACTATTAGTTTTAAGAGAGTCATATGCGGGCCACCATATTGAATGGACATGACTCATTCTCAGCTTGAAGCAATAGATATGTCTCTCTCCTGTTTATAGTAATGGGATAGATGTGTGCTGGGTATATGGGAGTGGTGTCCCAGAAAATGCATTGTCTCTCAAGACAAATATTGGGGTAAGGTAAACACACATACTATATGGAAAGACGTCAGAGTGAAATGGGTGACTGTAAATATGATAAAAGTATCACAATGAAAGGGTGTATGGAAGAAGTGAATGTTTTTAGATATTTGGGAATTGACGTGTCAGCAGATGGGTTTACGAAGGATGAAGTTAAACATAGAATTGATGAAGGAAAAAAGGTGATTGGTGCGTTGAGGTATATGTGGAAACAAAAAGCGTTATCTATGGAGGCAAAGAAGGGAGTGTATGAAAGTATAGTGGTACCAAGGCTCTTATATGGGTGTGAAACTTGGGTTGTAAATGCTGCAGTGAGGAGGCTGTTGGAGGCAGTGGAGATGTCCTGTCTAAGGGTAATGTTTGGTGTAAATATTATGGAGTGGTTGGTACTTTTGTTTAATAAATGTATGAAAGAGGGGAAGGTACCTACGGATTGGCGGAGAGCATGTATAGTCCCTTTATATAAAGGGAAAGGGGACAAAAGAGACTGTAAAAATTATAGAGGAATAAGTTTACTGAGTATACCAGGAAAAGTGTACGGTAGAGTTATAATTGAAAGTATTAGAGGTAAGACAGAATGTAGGATTGCGGATGAGCAAGGAGGTTTCAGAGTGGGTAGGGGATGTGTAGATCAAGTGTTTACATTGAAGCATATATGTGAACAGTATTTAGATAAAGGTAGGGAAGTTTTTATTGCATTTATGGATTTAGAAAAGGCATATGATAGAGTGGATAGAGGAGCAATGTGGCAGATGTTGCAAGTATATGGAATAGGTGGTAAGTTATTAAATGCTGTAAAGAGTTTTTATGAGGATAGTGAGGCTCAGGTTAGGGTGTGTAGAAGAGAGGGAGAATACTTCCCGGTAAAAGTAGGTCTTAGACAGGGGTGTGTAATGTCACCATGGTTGTTTAATATATTTATAGATGGGGTTGTAAAGGAAGTAAATGCTAGGGTGTTCTGGAGAGGGGTGGGATTAAATTTTGGGGAATCAAATTCAAAATGGGAATTGACACAGTTACTTTTTGCTGATGATACTGTACTTATGGGAGATTCTAAAGAAAAACTGCAAAGGTTAGTGGATGAGTTTGGGAATGTGTGTAGAGGTAGAAAGTTGAAAGTGAACATAGAAAAGAGTAAGGTGATGAGGGTATCAAATGATTTAGATAAAGAAAAATTGGATATCAAATTGGGGAGGAGGAGTATGGAAGAAGTGAATGTTTTCAGATACTTGGGAGTTGACGTGTCGGCGGATGGATTTATGAAGGATGAGGTTAATCATAGAATTGATGAGGGAAAAAAGGTGAGTGGTGCGTTGAGGTATATGTGGAGTCAAAAAACGTTATCTATGGAGGCAAAGAAGGGAATGTATTAAAGTATAGTAGTACCAACACTCTTATATGGGTGTGAAGCTTGGGTGGTAAATGCAGCAGCGAGGAGACGGTTGGAGGCAGTGGAGATGTCCTGTTTAAGGGCAATGTGTGGTGTAAATATTATGCAGAAAATTCGGAGTGTGGAAATTAGGAAAAGGTGTGGAGTTAATAAAAGTATTAGTCAGAGGGCAGAAGAGGGGTTGTTGAGGTGGTTTGGTCATTTAGAGAGAATGGATCAAAGTAGAATGACATGGAAAGCACATAAATCTATAGGGGAAGGAAAGCGGGGTAGGGGTCGTCCTCGAAAGGGTTGGAGAGAGGGGGTAAAGGAGGTTTTATGGGCAAGGGGCTTGGACTTCCAGCAAGCGTGCGTGAGCGTGTCAGATAGGAGTGAATGGAGACGAATGGTACTTGGGACCTGACGATCTGTTGGAGTGTGAGCAGGGTAATATTTAGTGAAGGGATTCAGGGAAACCGGTTATTTTCATATAGTCGGACTTGAGTCCTGGAAATGGGAAGTACAATGCCTGCACTTTAAAGGAGAGGTTTGGGATATTGGCAGTTTGGAGGGATATGTTGTGTATCTTTATATGTGTATGCTTCTAAACTGTTGTATTCTGAGCACCTCTGCAAAAACAGTGATAATGTGTGAGTGTGGTGAAAGTGTTGAATGATGATGAAAGTATTTTCTTTTTGGGGATTTTCTTTCTTTTTTGGGTCACCCTGCCTCGGTGGGAGACGGCCGACTTGTTGAAAAAAAAAAAATTAGTCAGAGGACTGAAGAGGGGTTGTTGAGGTGGTTTGGTCATTTAGAGAGAATGGACCAAAGTAGAATGACATGGAGAGCATATAAATCTGTTGGGGAAGGAAGGCAGGCTAGTGGTCGTCTTCGATAAGGTTGGAGGGAGGGGGCAAAGGAGGCTTTGTGGTCGAGGGGCTTGGACTTCCAGCAAGTTTTTTTTCTTACATCATCTATATGATCTCCACAGGGCAGAAAGAATATTTGCGGAAGCTGAAGAGAATGGAAACCGTTACTTTTATGTGAAGTGGGAGAACCTTCCATATGCTGAAGCTACTTGGGAGTTGGAAGACCTTGTTAATACAAGATTTAGTCAACAAGTAAGTATAGTACCCAAACCTAAAAATTAGCATTTTTTTTTTTTATGTTTTTAGAGAAAAAGTCATTCAAGAATGAGAGTGTCCTAAGAAAAAGCTCTGAAAATCCAACTCCACATTGAAAGATATTTTCATCCACAGGCCATGAGGCTATCTTTTTACAATTACAGACCCTCAGTGGATTGCCCAGTATGTCCCCATACTCCCTTAGCCAGACTGTGGAAATCATCATCACCAGTCCTGTTAGGTACCAGTATGACTTCAAAAGATGTCAATAACTTGGTTTTACTTTACATATGGAGAGCAACAACAGAGCAGTTGTGATGAATGGTTTGAAAAACCGACAAGTTGAAGATTGAGACACTTATGCAGCATATGGGAATATGCTGCATAAGTGTCTCAATCTTCAACAGAGCAGTTGATAGTTTATTCTAACAACTTTTTTTTTTAATTGATCGAGTCCCATACCCCAATTATTTGGTTCCCATACCCATGGTTAAAAAACCCTGAATTAAACACTGTGATACCATATATATGTTCACTGTTTTTTCAGTGCTCTTGGAGCATGTGCAAGAACCCAGCTTACAATATCTGTATTATTTTTGGGCTGAAAAATTCGTAACAGTTTGTATGAGTCTTTTAAATTCATATGCATTTTATGGTTTATTGGATATATATTAATAATGTCATATCTGCATTCCTCTGGCAAGACAGTGATAGTGCAAATGATGGTGAAAGTGTTTCTTTTTCATGTCACTTTATCTCGGTGGGAGAGGGCCAGCATGTTGAAAAAAATATGTAGGCTTTAAGAATTGAGAAGCATATTTCTTGTTTGAGCAGGAGCAAGGGGCTAGTAACCCCTTCTCTTGTATACATTACTAAATTTAAAAAGAGAAACTCTTGTTTTTCTCTTTAGGTCACCCTGCCTTGGTGGGATACGGCTGGTTCGTTGAAAAAAAAAAAATCTTGTTTGAACTATTAAGTTTTTCACAAAAGATGGTAATATTGAACTCCATATTTTCATAAAGATTAATTCTTGCTTGTATTCCATATATTATTTTTTGTATAAATTAACAAATTTGCAATTTGCTTATAAATTACTAATTATGGTATAGTATGTTTGTTTTGTGATAGAACTGAATAATTTCTTTTAACAATGTAATTACTGTATGTTACCTAGTTGAGCTCACATATGCATGTGTGAACGTGTTAGATAGGAGTGAATGGAGATGAATGTTTTTTGGGACCTGACAAGCTGCTGGAGTGTGAGCAGGATAATATGTTGTGAAGGGATTCAGAGGAAACTGGGTATCTGGACTTGAGTCCTGAATGTGGGAAGTACAACAGTGTCTGCACTTTATAGGAGGGGTTTGGGATATTGGTTGTTTGAAGTGACGTCTAAACTGTGTTGTATCTGAGCGCCTCTGCAAAGACAGTAATTATGCGTGAATGTTGGTGCAAGTGTTTCTTTCCTTTTGTGGGTCAACCTGCCTCGGTGGGAGATGGCCAAAGTGTTAAAAAAAATTAGTTGAGTATGAGGAGGGTGAGCTCCAGCTCCTGGTCTTGCTTTCAATCAAATTCCATTATTGAGTACTATCCAAAAGGAGAAACTCTCATTTTTCCTTTTGGGCCATCCCGCCTCGGTGGGATGTTAAAAGAAAGAAAAAGGTGATAAAGTTATGATATGTTATTAAGAATGTTTTTTGTTTTTTTGTTTTTCAGTTAAAACAATTTCGAGAACGTGAAAAATCCACTTGCACTCCTAAGCAGTGTTCAGCACTGAAACACAGACCAAAATTTTCACCAATGAAAGTGCAGCCAGACTACTTAGGTGGTGATAATGAGGTTTGTAGCAGCTTAACTAATGTACACATCGTTTTACAGATTTCTCACCCTCACACTTACTGACAGCAGTCACTCAGTGCATCATATTTTGATATAAATTACGAGAACCTGCTTGCTTGTCATTCATATTCAGTAAATATAGAACTGTGTTGTTGTAGTTATACATTTCTATGAGCTAAAGTAAGAATATTTAGGCATGGCATATTCATGTAGGTTTCCAGGGGCTTCCACAACAAAATGTTTTTTCTAACCAGTCCACTGAGGCAGACTCAAAGCTCATTTGAAAGAATGTAGTGTTTTCTAAATATGTAGGTCTACACGCCTTTGTGTATAGGTCACCGGGAGTTTACTGTTTACATAGAACTTTTCAGACTGTGAAGAGGAAAAGCTTGATGTTGAACTGTATTTGTAAAATTTGGATTCACTTTTATTGCTGTTAGAATTAAACAAGGTGTAGACAGCCTGTACTGTCAGCACAGACAGCCCATGCTGTCTGCCAGCTTAGCTTATATTTCGCGCCACTAAGGTGCTGCCCTCTGTAGCCAGGCCTCTCGGTGGGCATGCCAGCCTGCCTGCCCTTGCCTCTGCCTCACTCACACAGCGGCCTAGCAGGAAGACACAGGTACTAGTAGCTCTCTCTCGTGGGATGGCCCTTCCCGGGCCATGGGCACAACACACAAGCCTGTGTACCCACCACGACACTTTTCAATAAACAAAGAAGCCTCCGAAGACATATATCATTTAACCACCCGCTTACAGCCTACCAAACAAACAAACCCATTAAACATTGGTAGCAGCGGTGGTAGCAGCAGTTGTTTGCCCAGAGAGGAAGGAGAGGTATGAAGTCATCTTCACTTCATCATCCCATACAACAAGCATCCGTCTCTCAACGAGCTATCCTGATGTGGTGTCTGCACGTTTGAGCATCCAGACACAGGTACAAGCAGGATCCAGGCCGAAATTTGCCGAAATTCTCCGAGAATTGTAAGTGACCCCACGCTACAGCGTCCCACGCTACAGTGTCCCACGCTGTTTCTCAAGTCAAGTGTTCAGCGTCACTTGTATGTTGCTGTTGTTGCTCAGCTCAGCACAGCTGTTTCAGCAAGACAGAGGTGAGTTTTGTGGTGATTTCTGCGTCCAGTGTGAGCTTCTCCACATGTTTGTGGGTGGGGGAGGAGGAGAGGAAGTGGCTGTTCCTCACCTTGCCCATGCTCACCCTACTCACGCTCACCCGTCTACCATACACTCACCACTGCCCACTCCCTCTGCTGTGTTTTCTGCTGTTTTTCGTGTGATTCATTGCCAGAGCTGTGTATCCGAGTGCCCGAGGCCACTCGAAGCTACGTGGATCAGCATGCCACGTAGATCATGACACCACGTGGATCACGACGCCACGTGGGTGTGGGCGATGTCACGTGGATCTACCAGCCACGTGAGTTACCAGATGTCCCAGGCCTCATGCTGTGGTCTGCTGCCCGCATCACACTGATGTCACCTCACGATGTCTGCCTGACGTCACCTCGAGATGTCTGCTGACGTCACAGTGCTGCTGACGTCATCACGCCTGACATTGCATGATGTCACCATCGAGTGTTCAGTAATTATTAAAATATTGTCGAGAAGACTAAGAGAAGATATATGTCGTGTGTTAATTCCTCTCAGTCAGTGTTCTCACATTTTAGTATAAGTCTTAGTGTCAGTTTTGTGCACAGAAAAGCATCATTTGCTAGTTTAAGCCATGTTGTACCGCATGTACCGCGGGTGTGTTTAAAGTTTCCGTGTGTCCAGTGAGGTCTGAGCCAGACCTGAGTAGCACCACTGTGCTAAGTCACCCGCGTGACCAGTGCGTATGACAGCTGATGTCAAGACAGCCCCGAGTGACCGAGCCCTCTTGTACAGAAAGCTTTTATGCTCGTCGCTCGTGATGTTTTGCAGAATCGTACCTGCTACGATTCCCATCGAGATTTGTTCACTTCACCTCCAAACCGTCAGAGTGCAGTTATATGTAGAAAAACCCAAGTCTGGGGACGCTTGGGACAACCTCTGCTATAACTCCAACTGCCGAGAGAATGATACTCGTCAAGCCGCAGCCCAGCCCTGTCGGCAGGCGCTGTGTCAGCCTTGTGTCACAAGCTTCAGTGAGCAGCCTGCACAAAGAAGATGTCACTTTGACTGCTAGCTCTCTCACTGCAGTCTGGTGTATGATGTTACACTCCCATAGTTTCGCCCAGTCATCTCTGCCACGACTCGCTCCACGCTCGCCGGCAGTGACAGCCCAGTGACAATACCAGTCGAGAAGTGTCCTCCTGAGTCGCTTGCCAGAAGTCCTGCCCAGTTGCCGAGTTTTGTCGACACCTCACTCGAGGGCACCAGCATGTCGTGCCCCAGGTTGAGTAAAACCTGCAGCGACTCCTACGATGTCTGCATCACCATTCCAGAGGAGACCGTACCCTGTTACGTCACAGCTCAGCCGCAGTGATGTCTCCCGTGTTGCAGTATCTGTCCAGATGTAGGAAGGCGTGCAGTGATGCACTTCGATGCTCACTGCCTTTGACCACGATGTTCAGCACACCCCACATGTTTTTTTCTTCCCTCCCTGTAGGAATTTTTTTTCCATGTTCATATGTATATACAGTGGACCCCCGCATAACGATTACCTCCGAATGTGACCAATTATGTAAGTGTATTTATGTAAGTGCGTTTGTACGTGTATGTTTAGGGGTCTGAAATGGACTAATCTACTTCACAATATTCCTTATGGGAACAAATTCAGTCAGTACTGGCACCTGAACATACTTCTGGAGTGAAAAAATATCGTTAACCGGGGGTCCACTGTATATGTTTTTTTATTTTGTGTTCTGTGCTCTGTTCCTACGAGAGAGAGACCGAGCTCCTTTTACCACCAGTATTGTCGCGTCGGGACGACGCGCGGTAGGTGGCCGAGCGTATGTAGACAGCCTGTACTGTCTGCACAGACAGCCCATGTCTGCCTGCTTAGTTCATATTTCGCGCCACTCAGATGCTGCCCTCTGTAGCCAGGCCTCTCGGTGGCCACGCCAGCCTGCCGGCCCTTGCCCCGCTCTCACTCTTACAGCGGCCTAGCAGCAAGACACAAGTACTAGTAGCTCTCTCTCGTGGGATGGCCCTTTCCCGGGCCATGGGCACAACACAAGCCTGTGTACCCATCACGACTTAACAAATAAAGTAAGAAGCCTCCGAAGAGATATATCATTTGAACCCCGCTACCAGAACACCAAATAATCCTTTTTATAAAGGATTGACTGCTCAGTTACTCTGATATTGTTTTAATTTATGAAATGTGCATGACTCATCTTTGTTTTCAGGATTTGGAGTTGAGAGACTACCAGATGGAGGGTGTTAACTGGCTAATTCATGCATGGTGTAAACATAACTCTGCTATTCTGGCAGATGAGATGGGCCTTGGTAAGTTTGTGCATTTTTTGTTGTCAATTCATAAGCTTAATTATTTTGTCATTTACAGATACTCTAAAGTATTAACAATATCATTCCTTTATTAACATTGCTAGCTGAAATTGGTGAATGAATATGGAGATAGAGTAATAAATGTTGCAATTCTGTGGCTGGAACAATCCACAACTAACACAAATTGGAGATGGAGCTGGATAATATTTTAATCTGTTCTGGGACACTACCAAGCCATGACTTGATAATGATTCAGTAATGACTGAAACATTGCCCAATGTTTCCTCTCCAAATTATGGGTTAGTTGTGAAAAAGAAATAGAATCATTATAGAGGAAAGAATATTTGAAAGAAACACTAAAGCTATTCAACATTTGAGAATTGTACATAAATAAGGAAAGGAAGAAGTAAGAGGAAGAGAAAATGGGAGGAGCAAGATGAGAAAGAGAAGAGTAAAGAAAGTGGAAGGAGGAGAATTTAAAAGATGTAGCAGGAAGAGGATGGTGTTAGTAATTACCTTTTAGACTTGCAGGCTGGAGGGGATAAGAGGGGCACCAGCATTGTTGTCTGTCATCATAGATCAAGTAGCTTCCAAGAATGTACAGTAGTAAAAGTTGGTGGTTGGATAGCTTAATGCAAAGCATTGAGGATAGCACTTTTTTTCTTGATATAGTGAGTGATCTTGGACTGTGTTTAGTTTTCTGTTCCATATCAGCCATTAGGTACATCAGGAAGAATACAGTTATGCCATGGCTGTAATCAGTGCTCATAAAAATAAAGGGCTTAATCTTTATCAGCCTAGCATATCATTCATGAAATATATTGTGGGTCTTATATCCTGTTGTTGTTACTATCAGTGTCATGTTGCACTTTCACATTGAAGCAAGAGTTAGTTCCAGAGATATAGAGAGTAAGTTATGCAAATCAACCACTGTGAAAAAATAGTGAAATTCCAAGTGCTTTCATGATTTCTCACATTATAAAAGACATGTAGGAATGGTAGAACAAGGGAAGGCTTATAAGGCTGAGATGTTGCCTTCTACTTTTCTATTATTTTTAAAAGTCCTTGATAATGCGAGCACTCACGAAAGTGTTTGGAATTGCACTATTTTTTCACAGTGGCTGCGTTGCATATTGTGATATCACCTGTTACCTGTGATCTTATTGCATCAGAGTAAGTCATGTAGAGACATACCGGGCTCATGACAGGCTAGAACTTCCACCATCTTGTATAGAATGACCACACAGATTTTGCACTAAACATGTATCATCTAAATTCATTATCAGAGTGTACAGAACTGTGAACTATTATTTGTTTTATTTATTTTTTAATTTGTATTTTTTCTCTTACAGATAATAATATATGTATTGAATAAGGAGTTTACGTAGAATATGAATGTCATTAGAGTGTCTAACATCTACAACATCTGTTGCCATTTATTTTCAGGTAAAACCATCCAGACAATCGCATTTTTAAGTTACCTGTTTCATACTCATCACATGTATGGCCCATTCATTCTTATCCTACCATTGTCAACACTCAATGCTTGGCAAAAAGAATTTGCTACCTGGGCACCAGACATGAATGTCATTGTGTACATTGGTGACAGAGACTCTAGAAGAATTGTAAGTATATGACCTGAGTATTTTCATTGATAACCCAAACTTTAAATTTATTATTGTTATCTTAGCTATGATATGTATATTAGGAATAAATTCCAGCATACCTCAGACAACCATTTTTCACAAGGAAACTGTAATCCTGGCAAGTTAAAGAGCACAGAGCATAGATCTATCACTTTCCCTGGTCATCTTGTTTGTTATAAGAGCAATTTGTATAGTGTTGAGATTATGATTAAAAAATAAAACGCTTGTAAATAAGGATCATCATTCTGTGGAGCAGCTTAATGTGAAAACTTTCTGTACTAAGAGATAATTTTTTAGCCAAACCTATTTTTACCTAACATTGTGTTTTGAACATTAAAAATTAATATTTTTTCTGTTATTTAGGTGAGAGAATACGAATGGAGCTCAAACAAACGTATCAAGTTTAATGCCGTCCTTACAACTTATGAGATTGTTTTACGTGATAAGGAAGACCTGCGAGATTCCTGTCATTGGGCATGTCTTGTAGTTGATGAAGCCCATAGGTAAGTGAATTCCTTTTTATTTTGTAGTTCTTTTGGCCTGTCATATTGCTCTTCCTCTTACTAGTTTAACTGAGTTACAGCTATGGAAAAATTATAATCTTGTATCTGCCATGATATCCTTTGGCATCTGAAGGTTTTGGTGCAAGTAGGTAAAGAATAAAAGTCACAGTACATGGTTCGAACCCATGAATCAGAGATGATGCTAGTTGATATTAAAGTCCATCCTGAACCATTATCAACACTTACTTGTTTACTACCTCGAAGTTATCATTTTATAACTTATTTGTTTATGAACGGTATTAAGGCAAAACAGTTTAAGTTATTCATAATATTTTATCTTTTGTCAATAAGGTGTAAAATTAGTTAAATTAACATATACAATCCATACAAACACCTCAATGGCGATAAGGTGCCTAAATGAACTTACTTACAGATTAAAAAATGAAGAGTCCCAGTTGTATCAAGCCTTGAAGGAATTCCGCACTAATCATCGCCTGCTGATCACTGGTACTCCTCTTCAAAACTCTCTAAAGGAATTATGGGCTCTCCTTCATTTTATCATGCCGGAAAAGTTTGATGATTGGGAGTCCTTTGAATCACAACACGATGGGGATAATATGAAGAAAGGCTTCCATCGTCTTCACCGACAGTTGGAGCCCTTCTTGCTACGCAGGGTTAAAAAAGATGTTGAGAAATCGTTGCCATCTAAGGTTGAGCAAATCTTGCGTGTGGATATGATGCAGCAGCAGAAACAATATTATAAATGGATCCTAACCAAAAATTATGAAATGTTAAAGAAAGGTAATAATTGTTCTTGTGAATAATTTCTTGTAATGGTTATTTTTGTGGATGGACGTGCTGTTGGTGTGTGAGCAAGGTAACGTGAAGAGATTCACGGAAATAGGTTTCCCAGACCTGAATCCTGGAGGTGGTAAGGACACTCTGAAGGAGGGGTTAGGATGTTGCAGTTGGAGGGTAAGCTGAATTATAATGCCAGCACACTTCTGGAAAGATAGCAGTTGAAAGAATGATGGTGAATGTGTTTTCTTCTTTGGGTCACCCTGCTATAGCTAGAGATGGCCATTGAGTTATATAAAAGTAGCATTCACTGTTAAGTTATGTAATATTGAATTCAAATATGATACTGCAAAAGCTAATAATCTGTCAGTAATTATTGATTTTTATTGTTATTTGAAATTTATGTAATTTTGATTTGTCGTCCTTGATTGCTTGCAGCTGCGAATTTTGTTAGGTAATTGATATAGTTTTCATCTAATGGTCACAATAATCTGAATGGTTGTTTGTTGTGACAGGCAATAGAGGACCAACGTGTAGTTTTGTCAATATTGTGATGGAACTGAAGAAGTGCTGTAACCACTGTTTTTTGACAAAACAACCAGAAGAAGTTAATAATGCAGAAATATTACAGGTAAGCTGCATATTGCTCTGTGAGACAGATAGAAGAGGACTTGTAAGTCCACACTGAGGTTATCTGCTGAGAACTGTCTGCTTCTATCTAGATTAAGAATTATAAAGGGCAGTTATATATTATCCATGTATATAAAGCAAGGATGGAAAAGCAGAACTACTATTAGGTAATTTAGTATTGTAATACTTATGTCAATATAACTAACATTACAAGAGGCAGGTGTCTAGGCATTTCATCATACTTAGGTTAGGTATTTCATCATACTTTACCCTCAAGGGAAAGGGGCTCCTTGAAGCTGGTGAAAAGCTCTTGATCCAAGGAACTGAAGCTCAGAAGTACTTTTTCAATGATACAGTAGTTGTTTCTTGAAGATAATAAGCTAACTAATCTATTTGAAGTACTCCTTGAAAAAAGGCTTAACACTTTAGGGCAAATGAAATTTGTTGGAATATTCTACATATGCCATAAAAAGCTATTAATTTCAGTAAAATGTTTCTTTTGGGAGGAGATGCAGGGGTTGTTGAGGTGGTTCAGACATTTTGAGAGGATGGAGCACAATAGGATGACTTGGAGAGTGTATAAATCTGTAGTGGAAGGAAGGCAGGGTAGGGGTCAGCTCAGGAAAGGTTGGAGGAAGGAAGGGGGGTTAAATGAGGTTTTGTGTGCGAGGGGGCTTGGACTTCCAGCAAGCATGTGTGAGCGTGTTAGATAGGAGTGACTGGAGACGAATGGTTTTTATGACTTGATGTGCTGTTGTAGTTTGAGCAAAGTAACATTTAGAAAGGGATTCAGGAAAATCAATTTGCCGGACTTGAGTCCTGGTGGTGGGAAGTACAGTGCCTGTGCTCTGAAGGAGGGTGATGATGTGTTGCAGTTTTATTAACTGTAGTGTAGGTGCACCTCTGGCAAGACTGATGGAGTGAATGATGATGATGAAAGTGCTTCTTCTTTTTTTCGGGTCGCCTTGCCTTCATGGGTAACGACCGATGTGCTAAAACAAGTGTTTCTTTATCATATCATGCTGCTCAATAAAGCATTTCTGTATAATTTTATTATTTTTGATTGCAGTAAAATTATTTGATCTTTTCAGCAATTATTAAGAGGTAGTGGTAAATTGATGCTGCTCGACAAACTCTTGGTACGGCTTCGAGAAACTGGCCACCGTGTTCTTATCTTCTCCCAAATGGTGCGCATGCTAGATATTTTAGCTCAGTATCTACAGTACCGACGATTTCCCTTCCAAAGGTTAGATGGCTCAATTAAGGGTGAAGTACGAAGGCAGGCTCTTGACCACTTCAATGCTGAAGGCTCAAATGTAAGTGTATTTTTATCTAATGTATTTAATTTAACAAGATGCATGCAGTAATGAGTTTAGCTCACAACAAATCCACAAATGAGAGATAAAGAAGGGTAATCTTCCAAAATACTAGGTTGAACCAAAATTTCTTAAGTCTCCTCTCCAAATTGAGAGTTAATTTTACAGCCATGGTATTGTGACTTTATTCTTCAATATATACAGTGGTACCTTGACTTACGAGTGCCCCAACTTACGAGTTTTCCGAGTTACGAGCCGTTGCTCGGTCGATTTTTTACTTTGAGTTGTAAACCAAAATCCGAGTTACGAGTGAGCTTCAGATATGCCGCCACTAGTTGGCACAGCGAATGCCACAACATTCGCCAAGCATCCGGTGTCTCACTCGTTCGCTGCACTGGTTACCTCGCCGTGGAAGCATCTATCTTGTGTTGTGCTTGCATTTTGTGCAGTTATTTTGCTAAATTTATTTTTTCTAACCGTGGGTCCTAAGAAAGCAAGTGCAAAGGACAGTGCTGAGAAGAAGAGGAGGATGATGTCCATTGAATTAAAGCATGAAATCATAGAAAAACACGAACGAGGTGTGCATGTAGTCGACTTGGCAAGGCAGTACGAGCAGACCCCAGGTACTTTAGCAGATGAGGCATCATGAAAGTGAAGTGAAAAAAATATAAAAAAAAAATTGTAGCAATTAAGCTCAGCGATAAAGTGTAGTATTAAGTGTAGCAAGTAAGTTAAGCGATAGAGTTTGTGACAAAGGAAAGCGACCAAAAAAATCACGAAACGAAACTATCTCTTCCAATCTCCTCTGCCTATCTTTTCCACCCTCTACCTCCACCAGCATCTTCTGTTAGCCCAAGTCGTCTGATCTCCAAGGTAAATACACTTTATAAAACCAGTTTATTTCTTTACATTCTCTTTTATTATGTTTTTATACAATATTTCTTATTTATAAATACATTTTTTATTTAAAAGCCCGTAACAAAAAAATTGGGGTGGTTTTTTGGGGGCTGGAATGGATTAATGGCATTTCAATTAATTTCAATAAGGAAAATTGATTTGATATACAAGCAAATTGAGTTACGAGCTCAGTCACGGAACGAATTAAACTCATAAGTCAAGGTATCATTGTATATACTGGTCTCAGAGATACATGGAATCTTTCCTTTCATAACCATCCTCTTGGAGAAAAGTTCTCAGTTAAGAGAAGACATCAAATTTAGAGAGAAATAAATGGCTTTGTGTGTTTCCTTAAGATACTATACACCTGAATAGCTTCTGGTTGATAGATTTATGAAACTAATTTACATGCATTAATAAAATGAAAGATTTTTTTAGTTTTATAGGAAAGACCCAGACTTCAGTGGTATCTTTCTCTTTACAGGACTTCTGCTTCCTGCTCTCAACGCGAGCTGGAGGTCTGGGCATCAATCTTGCCACAGCTGACACTGTCATCATCTTTGACTCAGATTGGAACCCCCAAAATGACCTACAAGCTCAGGCTAGAGCACATCGCATTGGCCAGAAAAATCAAGTATGATTGATTTTATTGTACACTACATATACCATCATTTCTAAATACATGAAGTTGAATTCCATTGTCACAAGCTCCTTGGGTCTTAGGACAGTGCTTAAACATTTTGCAAACTAGGGGACCCTACCACTCCCCCCTCCCTTCCAAAATAAAATCATTATAAAAATAATGTAGTATTTACCGTTCACTGTAGAATAGGATTTTAAATACTTTATATACTTGAATATAAGTCAATGTTTTATACCAAATTTTTTGAAATGTTGGGCTTTTATACATAAATTGTAATTACCTCACTGAAGAACTTAACATAAGAATAAAAGAACACTGCAACAGGCCTGCTGACCCTTACTAGGCAGGTCTTTTTCCAAACCCAACCCATCCTATCTTTAAAGCTACCCAAAGTGTTAGCCTTGATCACTACTTGGTTAATTCTTACACTTAGTCAGAGCTCTGTTACCAAATGAGTACTTTTCCGTTTTTTTTTTTTTTAACAAGTCGGCCATCTCCCACCTAGGCAGGGTGATCCAAAAAGAAAGAAAATCCCCAAAAAGAAAATATTTTCATCATCATTCAACACTTTCACCTCACTCATCTCCTTTCTTAATTAGAATTTATCAAACTTAGTCCATTGTTTTTATTTTCTTGGTTAGATATTCTCAGTGCCTTGTGTATCTCTCTTTTTATTTGTATCTGACATCTACTTGTGTACTTCATTCAGTAGGCCTACTGGTCATGCTAGGTTAGTCCTATTTACACCAACACATTCCACTTATTATTTTTAACGATGTACAGTACTGAGCAGCTGATAAATAAGACTTGTGCAACATTGTACGTCTTCATTCCACAAAATGTTACTCTTTTCCTCCAGTACCCACCCTTATATGGCCATAAAACCTTGCTGTACACTAACACTGCATTTTTAAATCCACACCTTGCTTCTTCAGCCTCCTTTTGAGTTTAATGTTGTGATAAATAATGACTATTAAGGTACATTCCATGATTGTCTGTAATTGATTCAAGATTTACTTTAACTTGTTGAATCATTTCAGGTGAATATATATCGACTAGTCACAAAGAACAGCATTGAAGAGAACATCATAGAAAGAGCCAAGCAGAAGATGGTCTTGGATCATCTTGTCATTCAGTCTATGGACACCTCAGGACGCACTGTATTTAACAAAAAGATATCAAGTAAGTACTGTATATTCTTTTGAGTGACATTATTGAATTGTACACAAATAACCCGCACATAAAAGAGAGAAGCTTATGACGACGTTTCGGTCCGACTTGGACCAAGTCGGGCCGAAACGTCGTCGTAAGCTTCTCTCTTTTATGTGTGGGTTATTTGTGTATCGTTCCAGTCATGGTATTGTGCCTTTTTTGTTATTTATTGAATTGATAAGTTATAGAAATTCTAATTTGTATAGGTGTAAAAGAGTAAATTAGTGGCAGTGAGGAATAGGTCTCTGTGAAATATTTGCTAATTGTACAGTTTATTAAAAATCATCAAATCACGTAACTAATAGAAGTTCTAGAAACATAAGCAGAAAAAATCTCGTAATTTGTCCCCATAGGAAAGTTTGAAAAGGAATCAAATAGAGAAAGTAACTGGAAGACTGTGGAAGTGTTGGTGAGCTACTTAATTATAAATAAATTATCCCAAGTACAGAAAATATACACAGACAAAATCATTGTGACATAACAGAGACTGAACTTGCACACACTGTATCAGATGAAAGAAGCACATAAAAAAAAGCTATTCAGGAAATTGTGGACACTTTAAAATGTTTTTTTTTTTTCACATATGCAAAAACAAAATAATTAGTTTTTCCTCTACTTACAAAGGGTACAATACATCCACTGATTATGAAACAGCAGTGTGCAAAATCCTGAAATTATGAATCTGTTTAGCAAACCATTTGACACCTTGGGAGTAGAAGATCCAGTTAGTTTAAAATATTATGCACTGCATACCTATCCTGTGGGCAGTAGTCAAAAGATTATAGTTACGTAACGGGCCCAGGGACTTTTTTTGTGACTTCGTCCTCCCTAGGAATTACATAAAAGATATTTGCACAAATTTGGCAGACAATGAAAAATAAATTGATAGCATACCCATACACTCAATGCCAGTGTCTGATTGCTAACACTCAATATGTCTTGCACAAGGAACGTTAGTTCAGTTGAGTTTTTAGAGGCCCAGTTCACTAAAAAAAGGAAGCTGAGTGATGACAAAACACTAGATCATGAGTCCTTGAGAGGCTAATTTTGAGCTAGACAAGCCAGGCCTAGATGGCAACAGAAGAGTAAGGACCTTTGCACAGCTGTTGATCAAAATAACGATCACAGATATGGTTTACATATATTTTTAAGATACTTGACAAATAGCTTATGAAAAGAGGTTAGAACATAACAAATAGTGAAGTAGATAATAAACAAAACCAAATTCACTCAAAATACAGTATTGTTATGACACTTTTTTTCTTTGTAATCCTATTAGCAGATAATAGACGAACAAACTGTACCTTGATATACATAATTACTAGCTTGAGATTTGCAAGGAGGGTATACTCTCTTAATTACCTTAAGAAAGCTCAAATATCACAGTGATTATTTCACATTTTTCAGGCTCAAATTCTACTCCATTCAATCGTGAGGAATTAAATGCAATCCTTAAGTTTGGAGCTGAGGAACTCTTCAAAGATGATGATGAGAACGAGGAGGAACCTGTCGTAAGCTTTTCTACATATTTATTTTTTCTGCAATAAAATTGTGTAAGTGAAAAAAAAAAATTCTCAGCATATTTTTAAGACTGTACTGAAATATTCTTTGATGCAGCGTGATATTGGAAATATGATTTTTTTCTAACAGTGTGATATAGATGAAATCCTTAAACGAGCTGAGACCAGAGAAGAGGCGCCATCTATGGTTGGGGAAGAACTGTTGTCTGCTTTCAAGGTTGCTTCATTCAATTTAGATGAAGATGAAGAAGTATCCAAGATGGATTCTATAGCAGATGAGAATACCAAAGATTGGGTTTGTACTTTTATGTCTTTTTAGTTTTGCTCAAAATTATCCAACAGATTGGAATTGAGACTATGACATTTTGGATCATTATCAGGTCATAACTATAATAACCCAAGATGGCCTGAATTGTATGGTTTTTGCCTCTAACTTTCAGGTTAGTAGTAAATTTTTCTAACTGTGATTTTGTGACTTTTATTCATTTAGTTTTATTGTTTTACATTCAGTATCACTTGTATAAGTTTTATTTTGAAAATCCAGTGGTAATCAATAATTTTCTGAAAGAAGTATAGCAAATACACATATAATGCAAAGATACTTAGAGCAGAGCAAGCTTTTGTTAAGGCATTTCTTACAAGGAGAACCTTATCCTTGAGTGAAATGACTCATGAAATCGTAATAACATGATTGGAAACAAACTATGGTGCGGGTGGGGTTAGAACCCATGGCAAATGCGTTAACCACTGGGCCAGCTGGCTACAATAAGATTTATCCAATTAGGTATATTTATACACCATAGGGAGGCTAGCATGGGTACCACTGTGACCACAAATGCAAGTTTTTACAGATGAATCTCCCGCCAACATGGCTGTGACGTACTCAAGCTCAAGTCCCCCCAAAACCATCATGACTCACTGGCCTGGAGTTTTACGGCTCACTTGCCATGGGTTTTAACCCTACATGTACTGTGGTTTGAGTGACATGTTTTCATAATGAAATCTTCCTCTAATCTTAAGTGTATTTATGTTAACTTTATTTATGTGCACTCTGCCTTCCATCCAGCAAATACACAGATAACCCGCACTTAGAAGAATAAAACATACGAAGACATTTCAGTCTGACTTGGACCATTAACCAGCAGAAACATAACATTCATATGTGGTGTTGAAGTGGAGTATACAAAAAAGCCCTAAGTCTTATAACCGCTTTAAATTCAATTTATAAAAAAAAAAATAAAGATCATTGGTGATGTGGTTCAACAGTATGATTCATTTTTTTCATTTGCCCTTTAAGCCATTTATTTGGTAAAAGTGTAGCTAATAATGTTCTCATTCATTTCCAGGATGAAATTATCCCCGAAGATTTTAGAAATAAAGTAGAAGAGGAGGAACGTCAAAAGGAGATGGCAGATTTGTATCTGCCTCCAAGAAAACGAAAAACTTTAAATCAAGGTGGTCAGAAGGTACAGTTATATTTTCTTATGTGTGATTGAATAGAAAGGTTGCTTGCTTGCTAAAGTTTCATGGTTGAAGATGTTCATGACTTGAAATTTACTGTTATATCAAATTTTAATATTTTAAATTATTGTCTATAAAATTGCATATTGTTTTGTTCTACAACAGTTAACTTGTACTTTTAGGAAGAGGATAAATCGCCACGTTCTAAGAAAAAGAGGGACGAATCGGAGTCCAGTAATGATGACACCGATGATGAGCGGCCCAAGAAACGTGGTCGTCCTCCCATGCACCGCAAGGAGACTATCAAAGGGTTCACTGATGCAGAGGTATGAAGTTTATTGATGAAACTTTCTGCCCACTAGTGGCCTTTTTAATCATATACAGAAAATAAATACTGAAAATGGCAGAAGTGTAGAGGCAATTTTGAGGTTTTCAATTCTGCAGTCTTATTAGGTGTTCAGTCCCTTAATGTACATAAACATGAATATCTGCTGTAGAATTCACGAGAAAGAATAATTACATATAGCATAATATATCTTATACCAAGTGCTGAGTTATCTTTTATCCCAAAAATAAGCTAGTATCTCCTCTTCCATCTGTTTTTATACAGTGTTGGAGATGGTTTGAGAATGATATTTAAATGGAAGAATTTGTGGATATTATGTTTTGATGATAAAGTAGACAAAGCATCTAGATCACTTGTACCTTGGTTGACATGTGTCCTCTTGTTCTCTCTGTTGATGAGGATAAAAATTCTTATCTTTTTATAATTTTATATGGTTATCATGTCCCCCTCTTTTACCATTCAATACGAACATTGTTAGTGTTTTCAGTTTATTTATAACTCATGTCTCTGGACCTTATTTATTTTATCTTTTTTATGTTTCTTACATACAGATATATGTGGACACATGTTCCAATTTTAGCCTGATATAAATAGTTTTTGAAGCATTTGTTTATACATGTTCAGAAGGTTAAGATTACTGGAGTCTTATTTTCATTCTAGGTCCGAAGATTTTTCAAGAGTTTCAAAAAGTTCAGCAATCCCTTGCGGAGATTGGACACCATTTCTCATGATGCTGATCTCAGAGAAAAGCCTATGAATGACTTACGTAAACTAGGCGAAACTATTATTGAACGTTGTGAAGAATCCATGAAAGAACATGAGAAAGAGAAAGAAAATGAAAAGGCTCCAGAAGTGAATGGTGAAGGTATGAATAAAGTTTTCATTATTATTATAATCATAACCATTGAAAATAATTATTACTGTTTAACATGTTCTCTTTTTCCTCTCACTTGAAGTTCATTTTTACATTCTGCTACATTAATTGCATTTTGTATGTTGCCAGTGGCAGTAATTCACCTAAAGTAACAAACAACAGCTCAGTCACCACTGAAACAATGGGGAGAGGGTTTAGGATAAGATAAAGTCTGCATACCAATGATGACTAGTGATAAAACATAGATATACAGTGATTTTTCTTTGAGCCATTGTAAATAGGAAAAAACGTTCCAGAAAACCAAAGAGAAAAAAATGTCAATATAGGACGTTATATTTTTGCATATCTATTACTTAATTAAATTTTAAGCCTTGTGTTTATCATAAGGTAAATGGTAATTCCTGGTATTTAAAAAAGGTTTTTAAATAACCTCAGGTCAACCCAAGCAACGACGTGATCGAGGACCATCTTTTAGGCTGTCTGGAGTTGCGATTAATGCTAAAACAACTCTAGCAACTTTAGAGGAGTTGGCTCCTCTTGACAATGTAGTTCCTCATGCACCTGTGGAGCGAGCTTCTTGGACATTACAGATCAAGAGAGTCAAAGATGCTCATTGGGATATTCCATGGGGTATTGCTGATGACTCGAGGTGAGTTTACCAGGGTTCACTCTTGAAGGAGGTGTCTTGAGCCTGGTGAAGGGTTCTTGATCTGAGGAATTAGATTAACCTTACCCTTCCTTAGATCAAATTTAATTGCCTCTCATTGTCAGACATTGCATAACCCTTGTACATTAAGTGCTTTCCCATGAATATACTAATAATGCTAATAGGTAAAGGAAGGGTTTGGGATAGTTGCTGTTTGGAGGGATATCTAAACTGTTGTATCTGCTTGCCTCAGTTAAGACAACGATAGTGTGAATGTTGGTGAAAGTGTTGTCTTTTTTGGGTCACCCTACCTTGGTGGGAGACAGCCAGCATCTTACAAAAAAAAAATAGGTAATACATAATAGTAGAATTACCAACAATGTTAGGTAAATGGATACAGATGCAAGTAATGTGACCACTACTACTATTACTAACTATCTTTCACTTCACATGGTATCTATATATACACCCTCTGTGTCCTTGTAACATTTGTAATGACTTTACAAAGTTCCTGGAGAGCAAAACATTACCACAATAAAATGTCGCTTTAGTTGCATCTGTGTCCATTTACCTGAATGAGTCTTTGCATGCAACTTAAAATTAAATTTGTATTGCACAGTTTTATTGCTTACCAGTTTTTTCTTTTACAATAATTGCAAAATAATTTGTACTGCATCTTTACTTAAATTTATATAGGGTTTCTGTAAAAGGTAGTAGGTTGGTAAACAGCAACCACCCAGGAAGGTACTACCATCCTGCCAAGTGAGTGCAAAACGAAAGCCTGTAATTGTTTTACATGATGGTAGGATTGCTGGTGTCCTTTTTTCTGTCTCATAAACATGCAAGATTTCAGGTACGTCTTGCTACTTCTACTTACACTTAGGTCACACTACACATACATGTTCAAGCACATATATACACACACCCCTCTGTGTTTTCTGCTATTTTCTTTCTAGTTCTTGTTCTTGTATATTTCCTCTTATCTCCATGGGGAAGCGGAACAGAATTCTTCCTCCGTAAGCCGTACGTGTTGTAAGAGGCGACTAAAATGCCGGGAGCAAGGGGCTAGTAACCCCTTCTCCCATATAAATTACTAAATTTAAAAAGAGAAACTTTCATTTTTCCTTTTGGGCCACCCTGCCTCGGTGGGATACGGCCGGTGTGTTGAAAGAAGGGTTTCTATAGTTTATCCTCATTGTATTATACCTTACATTGTAATGTATTTTGTCCTTCATGCTGGTAAAGAGCTCTTGTTCCAAGGAATTAAAGCAGATGAAACCTCTTTCCTGGGATCAAACTTGATAACCTCCTATTCCCCCAGGCATTATATGACCACTTTGGGTTTATTGCCTCAGCATGAATGTAATAGCACTGATTTTTGTTGTACTACAGATTGCTTCGTGGCATCTATGAGTATGGTATGGGGTCATGGGAGCAGATTAAGAGAGATCCAGCCCTTAACCTGGAGGACAAAATATTTCTTGAAGGTGACTCCAAACCTCAAGGAAAACATTTAGAAAGCAGGTCACAGTATCTTCTCAAACTGATAAAGAAACACATGGGAATAGGACCTGCCAAAGTAAGTACTTAGTATCTATACTGTATTTGATGAGTTTATACTGTATGTGATTATTCTTTCTGTGTTGTTAGTTGCTTATACTATATATTTTTGTTTAATAAAGTTTAGTTTTTTTTTTTTTTTTAACAAAAATATTAACAAATTTTTCATACAAATCTGTTTTTTTTAACAGCCAAATATCCGCAAAGCAATGAAAGTACCAAAGCCTATAAAAGAGCCTAAAGGAATTTCTAAAGCTATTATAGAAAATGATGATAGTTCAGATGATGGTCTACCAAATTCCCATGGATCTTCCACCAGCACAAAGAAGACATCCAAGGTGATTATTGTGAGGATTCTTTCTCTCCATTTGTCTTAAGTTAACCCCAACTCCCTCTCTCCTCCTCACAGCAAAAAAAAAAAAAAACAATAACAGGAAACATGTAACCTCTTTCCTTTACAGGAGGGCCCTGCATATACAGCACTTCTTTTTGATGTTCCACATTTTTGTTAGTTTTCATTTGTGCCAGTTTCACTTACTGGCAGTTTTCACCAGCAAGTGAAAATAGCTATGTGGGGTCCTCCTGTATTTACATATCGTTGAAGATGTGGTTGTCAGCATATGAAAGCACTAATAATTCTATTGATATTTTATCATTGGTATTGTTTTAGTGTTTATAATTGTGCATTTATGGTGATTTCTCCCTATAGAGTACTGTATTTAAGACATGGATTTGGATTTTGCCCCCAAGGCAGCTAGTTTATTGTACCCCAAGTCCATCCTGTGGACAGTAGTGCAAGAGCATATGGATACACAAAAGGCCTAGAAACTAAGCCCCAAAAGGATTTGTAGAAGTACATCTGGATTTATATCTACAGTTCACTTATCTGTTCCAAGCAAATTAGGAAATTTGCTTAATATATCTGCTATCTTATCTTCATTAATAAAATATCTTGACATATCACATAGGTTATTATACTGTCTATCTCTGTATTCCTCAATAAGCAGACAATAAAGTACATAGCATTCAAGAGGATTATAGGCTGCTGGATACTTTGCATATATTGGTATCAAGAAATTAACAGAAATTTGCTTATACTGCCCCTCTGTTTTAGAAAACTGGTACTTGAAAATGCAGCCACAAGTAACAGTTTCTTGTATATCCAGCAGCACCCAAAATAGAATGTTAAATAGTCAGGTGGGCATTTTGATTTTAAAAGAAAAAAACAAAAATTGTGGACATTGAACAGACCTAGCATTTGTATAGCAAAAATATTTAGAATGTTGCGTCCATAGGAAAGAAAATAAAGAGATCTGACCCATGCAACAAATTCCTGTTTGTCTCTTATGGATAAACAAGATTTCATGTGACAAAACTTTACCTTACCCTTATATGACATTTGCACACTGTTTTTTCTAATACATTTGTCAGTATTATGTACCATAATGACATATGAAATCATAAAACAATTGGAAACAGACCACGGAACAGGTGGGGTTTGAACCTCTGGTGAGTTTTACAACTTGGTCAACATGAGTTCAAACTCCACCCATTCCTGAGAGAGGATCTCAGAAGGGGAACAAAATACACAGATAAATTATGAGTTTCTGTCTCTATGTGGGTTATTATTGAGCATTGACAAGCATTCATTACACTTTAGTTATTAAATTGTATTCCATCTTCATAAAGGAAATGAGGCAGTTGTAGCATATAACCTGATCAGCTGATCAGCCGTTTAACTAAATTTTCACAAGTTACTATGAAACTATTGTAATTTTATTACGTTAATTACAAATATTGTCTTTTGTCTTTTTAGTATTAGGAACAAAAGGAACACAAGGAATCAAAGCCAAAATCAAAAGATATTAAGGAAGAAAAAGAAGATGGAGATAAAGTTAAGGAAGAGACAGACATCAAAGATGCAGAAAAAGCAAAGAAGAAGAAGGAGAAGAAAGATAAAAAAGAAAAAAAGGATAAAGAGAAGAAAGCTGGACCAGTGCATATTACTGCAAATGGAGAGCCAGTTCCTTTAGATGAAACAAAAGAATTGGATAAAACTCACCCTCTATGGGATGAGGTAAGCATCACAGTTAGTTGGATCACAGAGTTTACATTACATTGTTTCATATTCAATATTTTGACGTGTTGTTGGAGTGTGAGCAAAGTAACATTTTTGAAGGATTCAGGGTCCTGGAGGTGATAAGTACAATGCCTGTGTTCTGAAGGAGGGGTGGAGATATGTTGCAGTTTTTTAACTGTAGTATTGGCAAGACAGTGATGGAGTGAGTGATTTTTTTGGTCACCCTGTCTCAGGAAACGGTTGATGTGTTAAAAAAAAAAAAAACAGATTTATTGCCAGGTTGTAATGTCTTTGTATGCTTGTAAGCCACTGGCAGAAACAGCCCTTTTGATCAGCCAGTCAACAATGAACTCTTGCCTGAGACACGGCTTTGAGAGCAAAACATCTCTCAAAACCAGCCACAGGTATATAATCATGTTCAAAACATCATTCTTCAGAAATAGTCCACTATAGAGATTTGCTGCTGTAATGCACTGAATATGTCTCATTGTACTGTTCATGCGACTCTTCCTTAACTCAAGTAACCAGCTTATTACCATTGTAAGTGAATCCATTATTTATGGAAGCAGTTCATTACTATTATAACTCACTTGGCTAACAGAAAGGAGGAACAAAGTCCTGGGAACCATTATGTACCTCTCTATCTGTATCTGATGTGATTAAATTTTGAAATTAAAATATTAAGTTAAAATGTTTAAAAATCTTAAGTGTTCGATTCACTGAAAAAGATTTTTATAAAAACAGCCTGAGAAGTTTTGTGTGTGTGTGTGTGTGGTGTGGGTGGTGTGGTGGTGTGGGTGTGGGTGTGCACGTGCATGCGTGCGTGGTGAGTGTGTGAGAGAGACTTGAGAGAGAGAGAAGGGGAGGGGGGGGTGACCTAAAAAGAAAACTAAAGGTTTCTTTTTAAATATACTAATTTATACAGGAGAAGGGGCTACTTTTATATAGTCAGACTTGAGTCCTGGAAATGGGAAGTACAATGCCTGCACTCTAAAGGAGGGGTTCAGGATATTGACAGTTTGGAGGGATATGTTGTGTATCTTTATACGTATATGCTTCTAAACTGTTGTGTTCTGAGCACCTCTGTAAAAACAGTGATTATGTGTGAGTGAGGTGAAAGTGTTGAATGATGATGAAAGTATTTTCTTTTTGGGGATTTTCTTTCTTTTTGGGTCACCCTGCCTCGGTGGGAGACGGCCGACTTGTTAAAAAAAGGGGGGGGGGGTTTACTAGCCCCTGTTCCCGACATCTTAGTCGCCTCTTATGACACACATGGCTCATGGAGGAAGAATCAGTATGATTTTAGAATAGACAATTTGAATGCATTTTAATCTTAGTTTCTAGATGAGGATGTTCTGCTGCTATGAATCAGACAATAATGAGATAAAACTTTTTTTTTTTTCAGTGCAAAGAGAAGATGAGGCCCATGAAGAAAGCATTGAAAACTCTTGATAATCCTAATGAGAGTCTGAACCAGGAAGAGCAAATTCATCACACTAGACGGTGTCTAGTTCAAATAGGGGACCACATTGAACGTTGCCTAGAGTCTCTGAAGGATCCAGACTCTGTACGAGAATGGAAAAGGTATATCACAGTCATCTATGTTGTTTAGTAAAAAGTGCTAAAATAGTACTGCTGTGCAATTTCCAAAAAAATAGGCCCCAAGGATTAGCAAAAAAAAAAAAAAAAAAAAATCCTGAATCTTGTGCATAAAGAGCTAAGCTGGCAACTCTGGGCAGGCTTATTAATGCAGCAGTGAGTAATGGGATATTAGTGGATACTCTGATATTTGTTCTCAGCATGTTAGGGAAAAGGTTATTACAGTATATGACATTTACTTTTTCTTTTATCTTGCAGTTTGTTGTGGCAGTTTGTGTCTAAGTTTACCGAATATGATGCAAGGAAACTTCACAAGTTGTACAAAAAGAATAGAAAAATACAAGAGGATAAGAAAGAAGGAGAGAAAGATAAAGATGATAAAACTAAAAAAGAAGATAAGAAAGAAAAGAAGGAGAAAGACCATGACAAAAAGAAAGACAAGGAAAGCAGAGACAAACATCATTCCCAGAAAAGAAGAATGGAGGAAGGTGGTGGCCATAGTCCATCCAAGAAGCCTTATAATGGGTGGGCACCCAAGTTAGTTGTGCATGCATATGTTCTGGCTCAAATTGTATTACAGTAGAACCCCCATATCCATGGATTTGGTTTCTGCAGTTCCAGTCATCCAGGGTTTACCGCAGCCCAAAAATAACCCTTCAATTTTGCTTAATAGTGGCATCACAGCATAAAAGTAGTGATGGTGGGAGTTGTGCAAAGCCTAAGAGAAGTCATGAAGTGCTTCCCAGCTGTGAAAATTGTTAATTCTCTACTTAGTGTGCATAATTTATCAGTTCAAATTTTTTGTAGGTATGTATGTAAACAAAAAATGACTTATGGATAGGGTTTGCTACTATTCACGGTTTTGGGTATCCACGGTAGGTCTTGGAACATATTCCTTGTGGATATGTGGGGACTATTGTATACTGTATTTGAAAATTATCTGATAACTCTTATTAATGTTTTTAACTTCTGTTGATCATATTGTGCTCTAATCCATATATAGTCCAGTCATCCCTATCTTAACGAGTGCTCGCATAATAATAATAATAATGACCAACTTGGTCTTGTTTAACAACTTAATTTGCTGGATCCAGCCTTTCTGACTCAGCAATATTTGCTTAAAGATCCATTCTTACAGTTTCTATTTTCGTTATTAAGCAAGGAATGGCTGTACAAGTATAGATGTGATAGATGCATTCCTGTACCATGGCACAGAAAGTCAATTCACATAATGTGAGTCCAGTATAACATGAATATTCCATTTTCCTTGACTATGTTTACCAAAAAATTGAGCTTACCACACATGTATCAAATGCTTGTATGCAAAAACAAAATGAATATGTAATTTTCCTTCCTTTTACGTTACCTCTTTTTACTGCTAACCAGCCAGCCTATCTTTGGATTGAAATAAATGCATTATGAATCTGTGAATATGTATCTCCCTGCTTGCCTAGTTCTGACTTCATGTTAGTGTAAACCAATTTTGTCTGACCAGGTGTCAATTTTCTTTTGGCTTGGCACAAGACACTAACTATAAACCAGTCATGGGACTTCATGGAAAATACAGTATGTTTATTTGATTTCCCATAATCAAATCTGTTTTTATTCTACTCATTCTTATGAATGTCATTATAAACCACTTTAGAGTGAAATTTAATTTATATTTTTGTTTTTTAGGGGCCGAGAAGGTGAGAAATGGAGCGATAGAGACAAGAGCCGGGATCGTGAGAGAGAGAAAGAACGCAACGATAGAGACAGACAGAGGGACAGAGAGCGTGATAGAGACCGTTATTACCGCAATCATGCCGGACCTGGCCGAGACTGGCATGGCAATCCAGGGGCAAGGGATTTCAAAGAGAGGTATGTAGAAAAATCAAGCAAATGAACTACTTTAATTTATTGGAATTAACATGATTGGTTGACTTTAGGCTTACAGCAAGTAAATATTGCATAAATGTACTGAGAATGAGAATAATAATAATTACCTTTTTTTTTTTTTTTTTAACAAGTCGGCCGTCTCCCACCGAGGCAGGGTGACCCAAAAAGAAAGAAAATCCCCAAAAAGAAATTACTTTCATCATCATTCAACTCTTTCACCTCACTCACACATAATCACTGTTTTTGCAGAGGTGCTCAGAACACAACAGCTTAGAAACATATACGTATAAAGATACACAACATATCCCTCCAAACTGTCAATATCCCAAACCCCTCCTTTAGGGTGCAGGCATTGTACTTCCCATTTCCAGGACTCAAGTCCGGCTATATAAAAATAACTGGTTTCCCTGAATCCCTTCACTAAATATTACCCTGCTCACACCCATCAGATCATCAGGTCCCAAATACCATTCGTCTCCATTCACTCCTATTGAACATGCTCACGCATGCCTGCTGGAAGTCCAAGCCCCTCACCCACAAAACCTCCCTTACCCCTTCCTTCCAACCTTTTCGAGGACGACCCCTATCCCGCCTTCCTTCCCCTACAGATTTAAATGCTCTCATGTCATTCTGCTTTGATCCATTCTCTCTAAATGACCAAACCACCTCAACAACCCCTCTTCAGCCATCTGACTAATACTTTTATTAACTCCACGCTTACACTGGATTTATGTTCTGGATGTAATTGCACCATGGTTAGTTCTTTACTGTAAATATCCGTGAGCGATATAGTTAGATCTGTTTTTCTATACAGATAAAAACATTGTTTTAAGAAGAAATGACAGCTGAAAATTTCAGTGACGAGAATGAAATCTGTTGAAGGTTGATGGTTGTAGGCGATTTCAGGTGGCAATAACAGTAACAGAACAGGAGAGAGATTTTATAAATTTGGAATTTTGATACCAGGGGGGTGACATTGGAAACATGTAGATTAGAATATATTTCATGTACTATAGTTATAATAGTTTGTAGCCTGAAAAGTTTAAGGCAGGCAGGAAATATGATGTAATGTGCTTGAGGCATTTAATAAAATACTGTTGAACAAGATATCTTAATAGTAGGAAACTTACTAGTGAGGCACCAGGCAAGAAGTGTACCAAAATAATATGAAAAGGAGAAGGGTATGTAATCATGGCCATGATTAATGCTTTATAGTAAAATTTTGCATGTCAGATGTTCCAAGAATCAGTACCTTTCCATTAATGTTAGCAACTAAGGTTAGTTAAGCAACATGGCCCTTGAGTTTATAACATCTCTGGCCTTGATTAAAACCAATCATTTGATTTTTAAATTCATGTGTTGGCATTGGCATTTCCTCATAAATGCTTGGAGACAAATATTGCAGTGCTGACTAGTGGTGAAAAAGACTTCTATCTGCAATTGCATATTTCTGAAGAAGCCTGTTTTACAGGTGAAATGTCACAAAGTTCCTCTGCAGTTATGTCTTTTTCACCACTTTTTTGAGCTTTTGCTGGGAAAATCGTTATCACTAGTAATAAGAGGCATCCCTAGTTTAGAAGGCATATTATGAGGCACACATCAGAAGTGTGAAGACAGACATTTTTTGACAGCATAACCGAACCACCATTGTGATTGTGATGTGTGAATTTGTAACCAAGTTAGGGAGTTAACACTTTTAGTGTTAAAAATTCATTTAAAGTTGTTAATATGTATTAAAATTGCTATACTGTATTGGAGTGGAAAATTGAAGAGACCTCCCCACTCTATCACTAATACAAACGAATTTTATCGGGGTGTTATTATTGAGGTAAAGTAATAGGAAAGTGTAAATTAAGTAGTTTTTAATAGTTTTGGTACATATGCTCTCATATATTGATGTGTTAATGGATTTTTTTTTTTTTTACATGTCGACCATCCCCCACCAAGGCAGGGTGACCCATAAAGAAAGAAAAAAACTTTAATCATCATTCAGCACTTTCACCATCAATCATACATAATCACTGTCTTTCCAGAGGCCCCCAGATACAACAGTTCAGATTTCCCTCCAAACCGCCAATATCCCAGACCCCTCCTTAAAAGTGCAGGCATTATACTTCCCATTTCCAGGACTCAAGTCTGGCTAATCGGTTTCCCTTAATCCCTTCACAAAATATTACCCTGCTCACACTCCAACAGCTCGTCAGTTCCCAAAAACCATTCATCTCCATTCACTCCTATCTAACACACTCACGCACGCTTGCTGTAAGTCCAAGCCCCTCGCCCACAAAACCTCTTTACCCTCTCCCTCCAACCTTTTCGGGGCCGACCCCTACCCTGCCTTCCTTTTCCTACAGATTTTTATGCTCTCCAAGTCATTCTACTTGGTTCCGTTCTCTCTAAATGACCAAACCATCTCAACGGCCCCTCTTCAGCCCTCTGACTAATACTTTTAGTAACTCCACACCACCTCCTAATTTCCACACTAGAATTCTCTGCATGATATTTACACCACTCATTGCCCTTTGACAGGATATCTCCACTGCCTCCTCGCTGCAGCATTTACAGCCCATTTTTCATGCCCATATAAGTGTGTTGGTACCACTATACTCTCGTACATTCCCTTCTTTGCCTGCATGGATGACGTTTTTTATTTCCACAGATACTCAACACACCACTCACCTTTTTTCCTTCATTAATTCTATGGTTAACCTCATCATTGATAAACCCATCTGCTGGCAAGTCAACTCCCAAATATCTGAAAACATTCAATTCTTCCATACTCCCTCCAGTGTGATATCCAATTTTCTTTATCTAAGCCATTTGATACCCTCATTTCCTTACTCTTATCTATGTTCACTTTCAGCTTTCTACCTTTACCAGCCAAGGTATTAGATGGGTCGCTGAAATTCCTTGAAATTGAAATATTGTACAGTAAATATTTTCCTGGAGGTGGGAAGTATGGTGCCTGCATTCTAGAGGGGTTTGAGATATTTGCTGTTTGGAGGAACATCTAAATTGTTGTATCTGTGCTACTCTGGCAAGACAGTGATAATGTCAATGATGGTGAAAATGTTTCTTTTTTCAGGCCATGCTGCCTCAGTGGGAGAAAGCCAACGTGTTAAAAAAAACATTATTTTTTATTTTTTCTGTATTGTATATTTTGTGATTTTTAATACACCTTTTTTTTTTGTAGTTTTGTAAGTGTAATTGAAGTACATTTCAGTTTTAAAATGACCTTCTGGAACAGATTAAGTTTGAAAACCGGGGTTCCACTAGTAATTGTTTTTGAAATCAAACTTACCATTTTATTTTCAGCCGGTATCCTCAAGACTATAAGAGAGAAGGTGGAGGAAGTTACCATCGTGAAGGGTATAAACCTCATGGATATCACAGAGGTGGAGAATGGGGTCCACGTCCTCATCATCCCAAACATCCCTATGGACCTCCAGGTGGATATGGTCCATCGTATTACCCTCCACATCCCCCTGGCCCACTCATGTATGGAGGCCCACCACAACCAGGCCCAATGCCACATAGGCCTCCACCATTTGGTGCTCACCGTCCAGAATGGGTTCCAAAGGAAAGAATGGAAAGACCTGATAGACCCTCACAAGAATGGGGAAAAGACAGACCTCCAGCATATCAAAAAGATTTCCCTTAAAGCCTGTATATAGTATTAGTTGCATATTTACCCTAGCATTAATAACCTAAAGATCTCTTGCATGTTGTGAGCATGATATTTCATTTAGTTCTCATGTTACATGAATTACTGGAAAGTTTTCATGTCTTTTTTTGCTTTGAAATGCTACAAGAGATGTCAAAATTAGAAGTTCTGGTAGTGTCGAAGACCATACTAATATAGTGTCGACATTGAAACTGTGAAGTGAAATTAGAGGGCAAAACTTCAAGAAACCTTCTTAAAGTTAAACATGTCCTGTACCTCAGTGTGTCTTGTGGTACTCAAGACATCACTTATGAGACTTTGTGTCTCCTCATGGCTGTGAAATGTACATAGAACCCATCTTTTGAAAGATGTATGTATATTAGATAAATATGTAGATATTTAAACAATGATTGGAAAAATTCATTATTTTCATTCACACTAATTCACCATGATTTTGTGAACTTAGGCTCATCTCATCATTATTATCCTTAACCAGATGTGTATTGAACAATTATTCATCAATTTTTTTTGAAATTCAGATTTATTTTGCATCATGTTGCATCCCTGTCATACATTCCTATTTCCTTCTTGTGAATTTTTTTATACATATATAATAAATTACTTTATGCGATTCCTTTCCTCACTTAAACACTTCTGAAATAGCTTTCATTTTATGTATATAGAATGTATTTCTTCAAATACAAGAACTTAGCATGTCTGTGTTAAACTTCATTTAATTTTCCATTGATTAGGATGGATAAAGTAAACTAAGGCTTCTAAAAACTAAAATAATTAATTCTCATCAAAGAGTGAAATTTTTTTTAGTACAAATTTTAATTATAATAAATCACTTAATTACTTGTTCCATCCTTTAAACTTATGGACTTTCCTTCTCCCATGTCATAAAAAATACATTACTCATAAACTTACCAATCATTTTATTATACATTAAAATATACTCCAACCTCAGTATACAGTTATTCATGTAGCTTTGAATGGATCGTCAAGATTTCGTAAGGTAATTTAAAAGTTTCAAATGAAGGATTTTATCTCTGCAATAGTTTTTATATGAATGTTTTCCTGGGTTTGCATACTAGAATCACATCTGGTGTATTTGTCTTTTCAGAGTATTATTATATGTTTGTATGTGTGAAAAAATTATTTATTAAAGGTTACTGAAGCTACCTTATTTTGAAATGTTTTGGGATGCCTGTACCCCTAGGTGTAGCGAGTGGCAAGTAGCCAATGAACAAGGAATTAAAAACACATACACAAGAGTGAGCCTCTTTAGGATGTCATTTTGTTCTAGATAGAGCTCTATAATGTACATCTTGAGTAAGCTGTATTCAGGGCAAAATACTGTCTGATGGCACACACTGCTACCTGTGTTTTAAATTCCTTGTACCCCTGGGTGTCCAAGGAGTATTAAGTGTATGCAGCTTTTTATAAATTTCAGTAATTGTCTCAGTTGGACTGTTAAATGTCAGTGTGACACACATTCTAATATAATAGACATCATTCTGAAATTATTAAAAGCTGTTCCTTGTGCTCCTGTTTACAGAGACCTGTATCATAGTCCACCTAGTGTCTACAGTGAAATCCTGATTTGTCAGTTCTCAGACAATTTCAGTGTAAAGTATTGATATAAAGTTATCAGCATAGTTAATGAGATGCATTCACAACTACAACACACATTTAATTCATAGGTAATATCATTGGTGACAGGGTATGTTTATTTTTTCTAATATTAGTACCTGGGGTATTTATTTGAGGGAGGGAGGGGGGAATTTAGCACACAATTAAGAATTCTAACTTTTAAGTAATTTGTTAGCAAGTCTACTTACACAAAAATACCATTCATTTATCATATATAGAAGTGTTAGATTTGTGAACAAATCAGATAAGATTTTACATTAATTTGTAATAATATACAGAAGTATTTTCATTGAATTTTCACTGTAAATCATTGCTATTATATCAAAGTCCTTGGAATGAAACAAATTTTTAGCTCAGATATTCATGCAAGGAATCATGGAGGAGATGGCCACACACTTGCAGTATTATTGACTTTATGTACTGTATTGAGTTCACTTTTTTTGCACATGTATAATATTATTTAATTTGAGAAACTCGTTTCTTTGTAAAAATATTCTAGTACAGTATTTTCATGTTTATTTTTCATTTTTCTCAGTCTTTTTTACTCAAGCATGAGTAAATGTGAAACTGTAAACATCAGATTGTTAAAAAGTATTAAAATATGTAATGCTTGGATACACATGGCATTCTGTTTTTGTGGACAAATTGTCATGATGCAGTTAAGGGTAGTTAACCTTGAAAATGTTATTTTACATATTTAAATGTTTTTGTTTATCAGTTAAGTGTTTTAATTAGGTTTTTGAATTTTGTTCTTCAAACTTTCTTGAATCCAAATTAATTTTATAAATTAAGCCTGATTTAGTTGCCAGTAGAAAATAATATGTAAAATCTAGATTTAACAGATTTCAGATTTATTGGACAAAATCATTTCCAGAATTGTCAGTTATTGTTACAGTCAGCTGGGAAAATTAAGTTTGAATGTAATGGACAGAGCCCATTATTTTCAGAATTGTTCATTATTGTTACAGTCCATTGGATAAGTTGTTGATGGATTTAATAGACAAACTCCATTATTTCTAAAATTGTTCATCAGTTATAAGCGTCGAAAAAACAATCATTCAGAAACAGTGGACCCCCAGTTTGCGATATTAATCCATTCCTGAGAGCTCATCGTAAACCAAAATTATCGAAAAGCGAATCAATTTTCCCCATAAGAAATAATGGAAATCAAATTAATCCATGCAAGACACCCAAAAGTATGAAAAAAAAAATTTACCACATGAAATATTAAGTTTAATGCACACAAACTGAAGAAGACATGTACAGTTTATAGTACTCTACTAACAATAGAATACATGACACTTACCTTTAATGAAGATCTGGTGATGATTGATGGGATGGGAGGAGGGGAGAGTGTCGAACTTATTGTTTAGAAGGGGAATCCCCTTCCATTAGGACTTGAGGTAGCAAGTCCTTTTCCGGGGTTACTTCCCTTCTTCTTTTAATGCCACTAGGACCAGCTTGAGAGTCACTGGACCTCTGTCGCACAACAAATCTGTCCATAGAGCTCTGTACCTCCCCTCCTTTTACGATTTGTCTAAAATGGGCCACAACATTGTCATTGTAATAGTCACCAGCACGGCTTGCAATAGCTGTGTTAGGGTGATTTTCATCCATAAAGGTTTGCAGTTCAACCCACTTTGCACACATTTCCTTAATTTTTGAAGTAGGCACAATGGATTCCACAACTGGCATAGGCTTCTCAGGGTTAGCCCCAAACCCTTCAAAATCTTTCTTAATTTCCATACTAATTCTCACCCTTTTTACCACAGGGTTGGCACTAGAAGCTTTCTTGGGGCCCATGGTGACTTATTTTGCAGAAACAAGCACCAAAAACACTGTGATAATATGGAATGTACCGAATGTATCCTTAGATGTGAGCACACTGGCTGGCTTGTAAACACTGGCGCACACACGGGGCAGTTCAGGCCACACGTGGACATATCTTGGACGAATCGCGTATGGCGTGTTTTTTAACGGGAACCGAGGCAAAATTTTTGCATTAAAATGTATCGAATACCGGATTTATCGGATACCGATGCCATCGCAAACTGGGGGTCCACTGTATAATGGACATTCGGATTTACCAAACACTTTCCCTACCCAGTTAGCCTATTAAATTGCGTTTCATTTTACTGTCATAATGAAAAATATTTAATACAGTACACTAATTTTTTTTTTAATCCACAAAAACTAGTTTCTGGTCATATGATACAAATGGGTTTAGTGATTTTTTTTGCGTGAGAGAATACAGAACAAAAAAAGTTCATCAATAGGACAATGTTCTTTCATCAATGAAATAATGTGCAATATCTCACAAGTTAGGTTTATTTACTCACCAGACTTTTGTCCCTTGGTTGATATTGTATTTTTTGTTACTTTACATATTTGTCAGGAATGTAGTGGACCTGTTTGTTGTCATGTATTTGCAAATGTTTCCTTAATCTGCACATAATTTGTGGCATTTTACTTATTTATATTATGACCTGTTATATACTATATTATATTAAATAAGATTTCTACATTTGAAGTATTTTACTTTAATTATTTCAAGGGCTTATTTTGAAGGTGTATTAGTATAATTTAATAAATTTTGCAAAGTAATTCTATATGAAGTCAAAAAAATTATTTAACATTTTGGCTTTAATTGCATAAATATTAATGTGTCCAAGTTGTGAATGGAGCCTGTATTGGTCGAAGTAATCGGTAAATGCTTGAAGACTAGGATGAACTGGAAATGTGTGATATAACCTCATCCCTCATATTATAGAGGAGTATTTTTGTACAAATTCAAGTGATATTTGTAGAATTGACTGTATATAATACTTGTAAAATAAATTAATATATAATGTGTGTGTGTGTGTACGTATACATATCTATATATATATATACTGTATACCTGGAGGGTGTTCCAGGGGTCAGTGCCCCTGCGGCCCAGTCCACGACCAGGCCTTGTGGTGGATCAGGGCCTGATCAACCAGGCTGTTACTGCTGGCCATGTGCATACTGGAGACAGAATTGGTTGTCCAGCACCTGGAACTTTATTGCTACTCCAACTATGCCACAGTGTTCAAAAGAATTCTGTATGGTAACCCCAACTGTTGCTCAACCCATTATATAAGTTCCCCACACAGAGCAACAATGGGGGGCTTTCCACATAGTTCTTTTGAATGTTCAGCACTGTAGTCAGAGCAGCAGTAGACTTGCAACTGTTGGGATATCAGTTGAGCTCTAGTATTGTGCTCCATACACAATTTTTTACTTTCATGATGTGAAATTCAACATGGCCAGCGTGTTGGAAAATAAATAAATATATAATATATATAAATAATGTATGTATGCGTGAGTGTATGTAAAGCAACCATTGGGCAGGAGGGGGGAGGGGTAGTGCTGCTTTAGACCTTTCATACTGTGATTTCAACATTTCAAGATCATGCAGTGAGAAACATGGAATGCAGCAAGCCTGAGCAGGTGTGTCCCAGGACACATCCCTGGACAGCCCTATTTAAGCTCTCCTGCACTACAGTTTTCTAAATGTGTTCCCCCCTAAAGAAGAATTAAAGTTTCTGCATAAAAGGCCTACAGCAGCATCATTCCCCCTCTTTCTCTCCAGTGGTTGCTCTGCATTGTTGATTGCTTTTTTTTTTTTTTGTGATGGCTGCAAAATAAATAAATGTGTGTATGTACACACACACGTGTATTATATATAAAGTGGCATATTTGACATTCAATAAATACAAATTCACAACTTGTTTCATAACCTTGGCTCTTGGTGGTGGTTTGTTTGTCAGGAAACAGAAAAGTGTCTCTTGCTATGGGTCTTTGCCAAGATGACCTGTTTGGTGGGTCAGTATCCACAACCCTTGAAGAGGGGCAGCCCTTGCCACAAAGGGGCTCCTGATCTGAGGAATTGAATCTAATCTTTTTCAGATCTAATCTGCCCCTCAAGTGAAGTTCCTTGATCCCAGTATGGGTCTCTTGAACCAAGTAACTGGACCTACCCTTTACTTACCTGGATCAAACCAGGCAGTATGACTCATGGGTTTAGCACTCCCCTCATCCTTTTCCATCTGGCTGCTTTAGTGCTGTATGATTCCTACTGGTTTAGCACTTCTTGAAATACATAAGATGATATCTGTACTAGTTTGGCTGCTGCAGTTATTAGCTGAAAGATAACTGTATAGTTAGTGCTCTTATCTAAACAGGTTTTGCTCGGCTTTGTTCTGTAAATTGTGGTAATACCATAGGCTAATGACCATCTGTGATTATGTCCGGGAGGATGATCATCTGTGATGATCCTCTCCGGGTGGATAATAATCTGTGATTCTGTCTGGAATGATTCTGTCCGGGAGGATAATGATCATCAAGGATGATTTCTGGGATGATATTTATAATTTACTAGTAAAGATTAAAAATATATGTGTATTCTGTATTCCCGGACAAATATTCTTATTACAGTTTGGATGATGAGCTAAGAATAATATGGTAATTAACAGGCTAGTTGAAGCTTTAATCATCCAGATTGTAATACCATCCTAACTTCAGTAGTGATTTAGCACTTTTTTTGATTATAATAATAATAATTAACCTCAGTAATGTGACACTATCATAATACATTTCTCTGATGACAATACAATCTTGGATTAGGAAACTGACAGGCTGCTAAACTAAATTAACTTATCACCAAATATGTTGGTAAGTTAATTTAACAAATGCCTGTTGGCACCTGCTGAATAGATTCAGATAGGCCCAAGCCCACATCAAGAAGCACTTCTACAAGATGATACATCAGTTACTCAAATGTCCATGTGCCCATCATTAACAACAAGAATCAACATGAAACTCCAAGGGGTTCAAGACAAAGCCCTTCACTATCTCTAAAACTGAGGTCACTAACTCAAGAAACATTTGATGTACAGCAAGAATGAACTGTACCTACCTTATAAAAAGAAGTCATTCCAACCTTGCTGATATTCAAACAGCACATCCATTTAAAACCACTTGTCCATTCACTCCGATCTAACATGGTTACACAAGCCCCTAATACTCGAAGCCTTCTTTACCCCCTCTTATCAACCATTTCTGGGACAACCCCTAACTTCTACATAAGATTTATACACCCTCTTTGTTGCCCTGTCACTCTATGCCCCACCTTTGATGCATACTCCCTCTGACTTTTTGTCGACTACATGTGCTACTTTATTATACCAACTTTGATTATACATGTATTTTTTCTTTAGCGCTCCCCAGGACCTTTACTGACTCTGCCTCTTGAATATTCCTAACCCTCACTAGTCTTGGATCTTCACATATTCCTTCTTTAGCACATTCCACCCTGCAGTGCTTTATGACCCTTGTGGGCTTTGTGCTTAATTTTGATTATAATAATAACTGGGTGGGGACAAATAAATTAGCATTCAGTACTGATAAAACCTAAATAAAGCTAAAAGTATATAACTAAACATAAAGATAAATAATACACAATGAATTCCTTGCAATGTTTTAAATAAAATACCCCTCAAGGAAGGTTCCTTGATGTTGGTGAGGGGCTCTTGATTTAGGGAATTGGATCTGTGCTCCAGTTCCCCGAATTAAGCCTGAATGCCTTCCACATCCCCCCCAGGCGCTGTATAATCCTCCGGGTTTAGCGCTTCCCCTTGATTATAATAATAATAATCTAAATAAAATATATATATATTTTTTTTTTTATTATCACACTGGCCGATTCCCACCAAGGCAGGGTGGCCCGAAAAAGAAAAACTTTCACCATCATTCACTCCATCACTGTCTTGCCAGAAGGGTGCTTTACACTACAGTTTTTAAACTGCAACATTAACACCCCTCCTTCAGAGTGCAGGCACTGTACTTCCCATCTCCAGGACTCAAGTCAAATATATATATATAAAAAAAAGACTGAATCTGATTCTGGTCAACACATCCCTCTCAAGCTTTTAACTTAATGAACAAAGCATCCACATGTATTACTGTGCATATTATGTATGCAGAATATTCTGAACAGACATTAACCTTGAGCTAAAACAATTCTTGAAAGTTACACAGATCACATGGACATAACACAAGAAATAAATACAGTATGTCCTTGATATTCCAAGTGTATGACTTAAGCTGAGTAAACACTTCATGCAAATCAAAGGACCCAAAATTTTGAACCTAACTGAAAGATCTTGGGAAAATCCCCTCTCTCACCTGAGTCTCACTATCCTCATCAACACTTAACATGCTTTTAGTATCCTACCACTTATTCCATGCACTTGCAACATCTGTCACATTGCTCCCCTATCCACTCTATCATATCCCTTTTCTACATCCATAAATTCAATGAAAACAGTAAATGTAATAATTTAAATGTCAGTTGCATCTTATACCACTAGCTTATTCAATTACCTCTCCATCATAATCAAATCTACTATATTATATTTACAGAAATTATTTGTGCTGAATTGTCACACAAAACTAATCCCTATACAACTGCCTGTACAGTTCATTAATACTAATTTGTCTGCACAAAATATTTTGCATAACAAGTAACTTCCTACAGCTGAATCATTACACTGTAATTCTTGGAAAAAAAATTTGACCTTGACTAGAAATATTTAGTATGGTACTGCATTTGACTCAGCAAAGAACACTGAAAGATGTAACAATAATTCAAGGAATTTTCTGAACTGATAATAGTTACCATACTCACAAAATTAATAAAAAGAGGCCTGGCACTGTAGATCTGCACCTCTCTGGGACAGTTAGTTAAGGCACAGCTGTATCTGGCTATCTATGTACCTGGTAGATCTTGACCACAGGCATATCCTCAACCCAGGTGTGCTGTGCTGGTTCACCTTAACTGTTTGTTAAATTTAAATTAGATCACTAAGTTTATTTAAAAAAAAAAATTTAGTAGTTAACTGAAATAATCTCAAAAAGGAGAAAAATGAAAGGGTCATAGGATGAGAAAACAAGGAACAAGAGTAAATTGAAAAAGGCACTACAAGAGCAAGAAAAATATATGAAATTGAAGGAGCACGATTTTGCTAAGCAATACAATTCCTGTTCTGAGAATGAAGATGAGCCCTGAGTAAAATTTGTAGCATAGTACTCCAGGAACTAAAATTATTTAAAGAAAAAATGAAGGTAGTATCACAATCAGTGGTTGCACCAGTACCTTGTTATTTTTTTAATAAAAAATTATTTTTCTAAGGTTAATTTTATTACAATAATTGTGAGAAGGGAATATATGAAAGTATAGTAGTACCAACACTCTTATAGGGGTGTAAAAGCTTGGGTTGTGAATGCAGCAGCGAGGAGGCGGTTGGAGGCAGTGGAGATGTCCTGTCTAAGGGCAATGTGTGGTGTAAATATAATGCAGAAAATTTGGAGTGTGGAAATTAGGAGAAGGTGTGGATTTAAATAAAAGCTTTAGCAGGGGGCTAAAGGGGGTTGTTGAGGTGGGGGGGTCATTTAAAAGGAATGGATAAAAGTAGAATGCATGGAGAGGTATAAATCTGTAGGGGGGAAAAAGGGGGGGGTGGGGGTTGCCCTCGAAAGGTTGAGGAGGGGGGTTAAAGGGGGTTTTTAAGTGGGCGGGGCTTGGGAAACCCCGCAACGTGGGGGCGTTTTAATAGGGGGAAATGGAGACAAATGGTTTTTGGGACCTGACGAGGTTGGAGTTTGGAGGGTAATATTTGTAAAGGGATTCAGGGAACCGGGGTTATTTTATATACCCGGGCTTAAGCCCTGGAAATGGGAAGTAAAAATCCTACATTTTTAAAAGGGGGAGTTTTTAGGATTTTGGGCAGTTTGGAGGGATTGTTGTCCTTTTTTTTATTTTAACTTCTAAACGTTGTATCTGAGCACCTCTGCAAAAACAGTGATTATGTGAGGTGAAAGTGTTGAAGTGATGAAAGTATTTTCGGGTCCCCCCCGGGTGGGGAGGGCCCAACTTTTTAAAAAAAAAAAAAAAAATTTAAAAAGTGTATATGAAAAATAAATTCTGAAAAAAGGGTTTTTAAAAAAAAACGAAAGTTGAAGACTGGACACTTATGAAACATTGTTGCTAAGTGTCTCATCTTAAAAATAAATTCTGTCAAAATGATCCCCCTAACTACCCAAATTTTCCCACAGATCAATCCAGACTGGTGTTAAGAAAATTCATGCACCTCCACAAAACCCCAATTGTAAGCAAGAGGCGATTATTTTTTTTAATTATATATATTTAGGACAACAGGAAAAATCAATAGAAAAAACTATTTTTTAAAGCAATCTGTGAACAAAGTTTACATAAATTTAAAGGGTATTGCACATTTTCTTCTGACATGCTGACCTCATGAAATGATTAAAAAGTAAAAGGGCAAAATTACTATTAAAAAAATTATTGGAAGAACATTCTTTACCCTTCGGGAAAGTGTATTTCAAAAAACCACTATTAATACATAACTCCAGATTTTTAAATCCCAGAAATTTTCACCAATTTCAAAATTTCATTACCTGACATCTTGAATATCATGGTTTATCCCATTCAATAATTACATGAAACTTTACAAAGTAATGAATATACAGTAGGACCTCCTATCCACTTTGGGTTTTCTGCGGTTTCATTTCTGTTGACCGTGGCCCGAAAAAAACCCCTTTAAATTTTTGTTTTTAAAAGATTTGGGCCAAAAGCAAAAAGTAGTGATGATGGCATTTCCCAAAGCCTAAGAGAAGCCTTTAAAGTGTTTCCCATCAACAAAAAAAAGTGCTATTTCTAAACTTACTGTGCGAAAATTTATAAATTTAAAACTTTATCATAGGTATGTATGTAAACAAAAAAATTACTTTTAACAGGGGACCCCCGGTTTAGATATTTTTTCTTCCCAAAGTATTTCAGGTGCCTTACTAAAACGAATTTTTTCCCCATAAGGAATATTGTGATTAGATTAGTCCATTTCAGACCCCCAAACATACACGTAAAAACGCACTTACAAAAAATTACACTTACATAATTGGTCGCATTGGGAGCTGTCGTAAACCCGGGGGTCCACTTTTGGGGGTTTCCAAACTATCCATGGTGGGTTTTGGAATGTTTTTCCCATGGATACAAGGGTCCTACGTAAAAACAATGCTGTTTACCCCACAATTCTCAACTCAATCATAATAGTATCTCCACACAATAAAAAGTAGGTAGTTATGAAACCACTCTTTAATTCGAAAAAAATAAAACTAGACTATGCCCAAAAATGTAAATGATATCCTTTGGGAAAAAAAAAAAAAATTTTAAAAATGCTGTAGACATATAACCATGATCATGACTGAACAGGGGGGAGATTTAAAAAAAGGCAGCCAATTGACACAAAGCCCCCAAGAAATAAAAGCAATATAAGGGGCCTCTACCTTCTCTAAATTCAAGAACAAGGGTGCTTTTTCTTGTCTGTTTTTCCCCGTATAGGGACCCTTTTACTGCAATTTTCTTTCAAAGCTCTCATAACCCTCTATGAAAGCGGGTTTTACGGATTTTTTCATGTTTGGGGAGAAATTGATCCAACAAACAAGTGTATCATGAACTTTCCTTTGGAAAAAAAATTTTTCACCCAAAAAAAACACAATTTTGGCCCAATTTTTAAATTCATTAAAATCACCCAAAACCCGGCGACTATTTTCTTGCTGTTCAGATTCACTTAAAAATGAAAATGAGTAATTTTGCATAAAAGAGGCCTTTAAATTTCCCGGTAATTCTAGGAGGAAGCAACATTTTTTATTAAAATTTTCATTTGGAAAATAACTAAAAATCATGAAAAATACCTAAAAATACGAAAAATAACTGAAAGTTATCAAAAATAACGAGAAATGACTAAAAATTACGAGAAATAACAAAGAATTTTGAAAAATAGCCATAAATTTTGAAAAGTAAATAAATATTACCCCAAAAAATCACTCCATTTCAACTATTTTTTTGCTATTAAGTATATGATTTAAAAGCCTTACGTTTTTGCATTTACTATAATAACAACAATAAGTAGTAAGGAATATATGAAGATGCAAAAGCATGAACTCAGTAATGCAATAAAGGCACCATTAGTCTGATGTATATTTTACTTTATTTAAGCATAAGATTTATAAACTTTCCATGAGCCATTAGTAGAGAGATATAAAAAATCTCATAAATTGGTACATTTATTAGTATTGGAAAAAACATGCATATATTCATTTCTTTTTTTTCTTTTATATCATAAAAACTAATTATGGATACCCTTTAAAAGACCCACTAATTCTCAAAAGGGCCCTTTTGGGAAATTTTTGCAGCCCTTCACGGTAATGGAAATTTTAAAACGAACAATTTATTATTTTAAACTGTCTTTGAGAAAGATTTCAAGAGGGAAGTAAAAAAAAAATTTTGTATAAGTAAAATCTGAAGATCATGTTCACATGACCCTTTGGTTACAAGGAAACAATTGGTATTTTTATTTATATTTATCATTTGCCTGCTCGTTCCCAAAAATTTTACCCACTATGACTAACTTTTTTCAGTAAAAAAATAAATTTGGAATCTCCTTTCAGTTTCTAAAATATGTTTTAAATAATAGGGCAGTGTGTTTCATTATCATCCATCCTAATAGGTTAAAATTTCCCAAATAGGTGTATTAACATGTACTGTAATACATTGGAAAGGGTTTGCATGGGTGCTATGTGATCCTTTTGGTAAATGGTTTAGTGGTAGCCTCTAATCTTCCAAGTATGGATATAAATCACCTACCCGGATGAACCCTTTATGCCAGTATGGACAGTTGTAGTACTTGGCCCGGTAGTCTAGGAAAGGCTTTCCATGTGTTTGAACCCACCGCCAGAGAGTGGTTTACATTCAGTTTAATTTAAAATTTTACGTTATATTTTACAATAAAATTTTTAATGGCTCAAAAAGCTGATCAAGGTATGTTTCGAGGTAGTTTGCAATGCCCTTTTCTAATTGCCCTAAAAAAACAAATACTAACAACATTCTACATTCTGGTAGCATTTGCTTTTAAACACACTGGCCATCTACCACTGAAGTAGTGTGACCCAACAAAAATGAAACACACTCAACTTTATTCATTCAATAGTTGTCTTGCTAGAAGTGTGCAGACAAACAATTCAAATTGAAAAAACCCCTTTAACTGCAAATCCCTGCCCCTTTCCTTCAGAAAGCGACACATTTCCACCTCCAGGACTCAAGTTTGGCAAACCAATTTCTATGAATCCCTTTCCAACAAAAAATCAAGCCATAAAAACCACTTGTCTCCACTCACTCTGATATAACATTCACACAAGTCTGCTGGATACTTAAAACCTAGCACTTAAAAACATTATCCCCCTCCCTTCAACCTTCTTAGGATGGCCCCTACCTCTCCTTCCTTCCACCCCAGCTTTGTACACCCCATTCATCATCCTTATCTATTCCATCCTCTTTAAATGCCCTCAGTCTCTGTATAGATTATATACAAGTGTTAACAAATTGAAAACAACAAACTGTCGAACCCAAGATTTAACAGACCTCAAGTGAATGGACTTCAGAAATACAAGACAAAATTAACTGGGTTAATTGATTCAGAAACAATGGACAAAGTTCACTGAATGGAAAATTATTCATTACTGTTATGATCACAGCAAAATAATCACCTTTATTAACCACAAACAACAGGACCAGCCACCCTCTCCTCCCTATTAGTCCATTAAATCAAGGGATTACTGTATTTATACATTAAAAACAAAAATAGCTTATCTTTTACACCTATCCCAAGTGTAATCTCTTGTACCATCTATGAGAATCATATTTCTTTGTAATCTCATCCAAAATACTTCAGGGCTAAATTAAAACAGGAAACCCTGGATATAGTTGGCCTTGATATATAATGAACCCTTCAAGTACCACACATAATCTACTTATAAACTCATTTAATTTCGATGTGTACTACTGTACCTCTAATGTGTACAGTACTGCACAAGGTACACAACAGATTACCTAAGTGCTTTTTATGCAAGTTTTTAATATTCTGAATGAATGGACACTCAGAGAATCTCCCCCTTAGTCTTTTATATTGAAGATTTACTGTTTATTATTTCTTGGAAACCCTTTAAAAAAAAAAAACGGTATTCAAGAGAGCATTACAAGAGTTGCACTACCTATGTGGACTTGATTATTTTCCTGGCTTCTCTTACTTTATTACATTTTCTGGCTTCTCTTACTTTATTACATTTTCTGGCTTCTCTTACTTTATTACATTTTCTGGCTTCTCTTACTTAGTCTTATTTTTCTGGCTTCTCTTACTTGTCTATTATTTTTCAACAATTTAAAAAATATATGGTAGCATTTTTTGTGAATAATAATAATAATAATAATAATAATAATAACAATACAGTAATAATAAATTTTATAAATACATAGTTTATAAAAACCAATATGACAATTTGGTTTCTATAACTGAGAATTTAAATTAAATACTGTAGCAAATGAGAAATGTGCACATTAAACATGCCTATGAACTAAGTGATTGCAACTTCTTTGGCAAATGAGTCAAGTGTTGCTATGTAATAAAGTTTACTGAGGATAACCTGCATAAGAAACTTTGCCTACCTGACACTACAATATAGAGAGGCAATTACACATTATCAAATTATACCAATTATGCTGTAAATGAAGAACTGTCATCTAAAATATTTACATCAAAATGGTATACAATACCGACAGGTTGGTAGGTAAGACACATAGGCAACAGTTAGGCAACTTTATTCCGAAACGTACTACTACTACTACTACTCTGCACCTCTCCTTCCGACAGTATTTAAGTCTCCGCACTGTCGCTTGATCTTCAGATAGTTCCTGACTATGGAACTGAACTTCTCCAGGCTGAGGGACTGACAACCTCAAATTCTACAACTTCAAGGGTGATGGACTGACTACATCGTCTTCACATCTCTACTGTTCCTGCCTACTTTCTGTATTCGACTGAAGAAGCCTACTGTGTAGGCGACACATTTCGGAATAAAGTTGCCTAACTGTTGCCTATGTGTCTTACCTAAAATATTTACATTAGAAAACTTAAATTATATGCATTTTTTTAAATATGGAAACATCCAAACATGAGCTAGATAATTCTATACACAGTAGATTTATCCACTGAACAAAATGCAGCACATCATTCTATTTGATACTCAACTAAGTACAGTATCTTCATAAATTACATGTCAACACATAATCCTCTAAGCATTTTCTCAGTTCATCTCTGAAATAAATAATAAAATAGCACCTTCAAAGAGAGTTGAGTACCATTAAAGTTCAATAGTATGCTAACTGCATGGCATGACATTTTCTTGTGACTATGAGTGGTATTTTTTTTTCAATAACTATAGGCTTACTGATTGGAAAGTAAGAAAGTCTTGCCACACAGAAGGCAGAGTCGCTTTTGAAAGCGCACGAAGGGCACCAGGACCCAGATGATGAGTGAGTGCTCGGCGACACAAACTAGAGAGGCAAGGAGGTTGTCTTGTGGCTTCTTCAAGTAGTGCACGAATGCCAGAGTCCCGTACTTCATTTTCTATGTCCCCTCCTCGTATCAGTTTTTTAGTACGTGCTCCAGCAGCCAAGAGCAGAGCTACCGCACCCCAAGTAGCATCTCTTGCTGCTGATACCAAAGGAGTATGTCCCAAGTGATCCTCGGTGTTCGTGTCTGCTCCTGCAGTGAGGAGAAGACGCAAAAGATTGAGACGGTGCTCTAAAACAGCCAAGTGTAATGGTGTATGGCCTAAAGGGCCTTTAGAGTTAAGGGCAGCCCTTGTTCCTACTTCCACTACTGCTGCAAGAATACTCTCTGCATCTTGTCTACCACTTTTCACCGCAATATGTAGAGGTGTTTCCATGCCAGAGTTTGTTATACAAGCTGCAACTGGATGAACCATTGCCAGTATTCTCACCGTAAAGGCTTTCACACCATTTACATCAACAGCATAATGAAGTGCTGTATTGCCTCGATTATCAATAGTTTCAGGATTTGCATGGGCACTGAGTAGAATCTCAACAATTTCAGAATTTGCTGATGCAGCAGCATAGTGGAGTGGTGTACAGCCATCCCCATCAACGACATCTACAGCTGCTTCTTGGGATAATAAAAGCTTCACCAAATCTGAGATAAAAGAAATAATTAAGAGAAGATGGTACATGACTTTTTTAATGAAATGGACACTATAAGAATCAAAGGCTTATGCATTTGTGCAACAAGCACTAACAGCCTGACTGAAGGCCTAGAGTCTGACAGAGCCAAGAGAGAAATGATTCCTGGCATCTACAAGTTACTGAATAATGAGCTATTTTTGATTTTCTAGCCAGAGTGCTTCATTCCTGTAAGACAAAACATTGCAACACTGTATGGCTTAATTAAGCTAAATTTGAGCTAAAGGTGCCTGCTCATAAATCCTGTCAGTGGGAATCTGGGAAGGTGTATGAAGAATGAGAAAGGAATGATTAACATCTGGTGAGAAGCAGTTGTGTTTCATATCGTCTACATCAGCTGCCTGTTTTGAATTGTAGCTTAAGTCTATGTGGAATTTATCTTCAAGTTACCTTGATGAAACAGCTAGCAGGTGAAAAGACTATTAGCAGCAACAGCCTGGTTGACCAGACAAGCACCAGATGAGCCTGACCTATGGCTGGGCTCAGGGAGTAGAAAAATTCATGGAACTAATCAAAGGCAGGAACAGTATGAGGCAATGTTTTGAGAGCTCTAAAACCTGTATGAGCCCAAGCAGTTTGTCAAAAAGACCTGCCTACAGCTTCACTGGTGCTGCAAAGAATCTAACTCAAACATCTCGGGGAAAAAGCTCACTGGGGAAAAGATGATCTATCAGTCTGTGTCAAGTAGTCATAACAGAGGCTATAAGAACCCTTTTACACTCAAGAACTAGGAAATGCCCCCTTTATACAAGCAACTATACCTTTCTTTCTTTCAACACACCGGCCGTATCCCACCGAGGCAGGGTGGCCCAAAAGAAAAAATGAAAGTTTCTCCTTTTACATTTAGTAATATATAGAGGAGAAGAGGTTACTAGCCCCTTGCTCCCGGCATTTTAGTCACCTCTTACAACACGCATGGCTTACGGAGGAAGAATTCTGTTCCACTTTCCCATGGAGGTAAGAGGAAATAAACAAGAACAAGAACTAGAAAGAAAATAGAAGAAAACCCAGAGGAGTGTGTGTATATATGCTTGTACATGTATGTGAAATGTGACCTAAGTGTAAGTAGAAGTAGCAAGACGTACCTGAAATCTTGCATGTGTATGAGACAGAATAAAAAGACACCAGCAATCCTACCATCGTGTAAAACGATTACAGGCTTCTGTTTTACACTCACTTGGCAGGACGGTAGTACCTCCCTGGGCGGTTGCTGTCTACCAACCTACTACCTACATTTTCCAATTTATACTGCATAAAATAGACTTGAAAAGTTACCTTGATTGCCTCTCACAGCAGCAAGATGGAGTGGAGTCCGTCCTTGATGTGTCCGAGCATTGACATTGGCACGAGCTTTAATGAGGAGGCCAGCCAAATTAGTATAACTGTGTGTACATGCTATGTGAAGTGGTGTTAGGCCTCCAGAATCTCCTTGGTTAATGCTTACACCCAACTCAACCAAGAGCTGAACTGAAATAAAACACACATTTAATTTTAAAGTTGTAAAATATAAAGGATAATTAATATTATTATTTTGGCAGTAATTACTGACCATATAACTTGACTGGCATCAAGATAATGAGTTATGCAATTCCTATATGAAACACAATATACAGCCATCATTACTTAACGGCCCTGACATCCAAAATTAGGTAAATGCAAATTCACGTTTCATTAGTTACTAGATATTTTTTTTATTAACAAATCAGCCATTTCCCACCAAGGCAGGGTGGTTCAAAAAAGAAAACCTTTCATCATCATTCACTCCATAACTGTCTTCCCAGAGGCACACTTACACTACAGTTATAAAACTGCAACATTAACACCCCTCCTTCAGAACGCAGGAGCTGTACTTCCCACCTCCAGGACTCAAGTCTGGCCTGCTGGTTTCCCTGAATCCCTTCATAAATCTTACTTTGGGCATGCCAACAGTATGTCAAGTCCTAAAAACCATTTGTCTCCACTCACTCCTATCTAACGTGCTCACTCACGCTTGCTGGAAGTCCAAACCCCTCACACACAAAACTCCTTTAAGATATGGTAAAAGAAATCTACTTTCCATCAAAGAAACTGCCATTTAATATTCACATGAAATAACATAGATTTCTTGGGAATACAGGATACTGATTACATTGTAGTGTAATAATTTTACACTAAGTAGACTTGAAAAGGCTTATGCAGTCTAGTGAACCATTGCCAACTAGCCTGTGGTGTGTTACTGACATATTTCTGTACTAAATGTTTCTTATGGCTAGGTACAATGTGCATGGGAAATCTCTCTCTCAGAAAATTTAAATAAAATAAGAAAAAGAATGTCTATTCATACCCCGGCGGGTTCAATCCGGCCGGGGTATGGTTTGAAAACTAACAAAGTGTGGCTCCTAATATTATAACTGAATAAACCAAACTTACCCATGTCAAGAGCATTGTTCTCAACACAGAGACAGAGTGCTGGTCTCTGCTGAGAATTAATTGAGAAGCGTATATCAGTGTCCACTCCAGCTTGGAAAAGTTTATGGGCACGCATAACGTCATTATTCTGGATTGCCACCAAAAGTTGAGAGTCCAGTGCCCAACGACGCACCACAGATGCCATCATTTAACTGTAAGGAAAATGGCAAATCTTGCATCATAAACTTAATAAAGACACTATGACATTACACAAATAATCTGCACTTAGGAAAAGGATAAAAATGACAATATTTAAACCTGACCTGGATTTGTGACTTTTCATTCTTTCTTTACATTATAATAATAATAATGAGTAATTAATTTCAACACAATACAATGTTTATACAGAGATGGGCAACATTTAGTTGTGCATGCAGAAAGCCCATAGTTATGCAGAGAATTTCAGGCAAACATGATGACAAGAGCACAAGCTTGTGAAAGTTAAAACAAAAAGAATGTAACTGATTCCCTTTATACTGGCACTTCATGGCTTTTATGGGTTTAGTGCCTCCCTATAAATATACTATAATATGTCACTTACAACTACATATTGTGGCATTTGTAATTTAAAATGCTTTTGTAAAGTCACAACCCTTCCTTTCCTTGATGTCTATCCTCCATAACACAATCATCTACTCAGTTTTAGAGAATTGTATATCAAAAACCCTCCAACAAAAATGATCTTGTACACATCTAATCTCACCAAGATGCCAGGACCAAACACAACATAGCCTCTTAGGTAAAAGGGCACAGATGCACCGAATGACATTTTATTGTGTCATCTGTTATCAACAAATTTTGTTGAAAATAAGAAAAAGTTTTGGAGTGAGATTAACAAGTTAAGAAAGCCTAGAGAACAAATGGATTTGTCAGTTAAAAATAGGAGAGGAGAGTTATTAAATGGAGAGTTAGAGGTATTGGGAAGATGGAGGGAATATTTTGAGGAATTGTTAAATGTTGATGAAGATAGGGAAGCTGTGATTTCGTGTATAGGGCAAGGAGGAATAACATCTTGCAGGAGTGAGGAAGAGCCAGTTGTGAGTGTGGGGAGTTCGTGAGGCAGTGGGTAAAATGAAACGGGGTTAAGGCAGCGGGATTGATGGGATAAAGATAGAAATGTTTAAAAGCAGGTGGGGATATAGTTTTGGAGTGGTTGGTGCAATTATTTAATAAATGTATGGAAGAGGGTAAGGTACCTAGGGATTGGCAGAGAGCATGCATAGTTCCTTTGTATAAAGGCAAAGGGGATAAAAGAGAGTGTAAAAATTATAGGGGGATAAGTCTGTTGAGTATACCTGGTAAAGTGTATGGTAGAGTTATTATTGAAAGAATTAAGAGTAAGACGGAGAATAAGATAGCAGATGAACAAGGAGGCTTTAGGAAAGGTAGGGGGTGTGTGGACCAGGTGTTTACAGTGAAACATATAAGTGAACAGTATTTAGATAAGGCTAAAGTGAACAGTATTTAGATAAGGCTAAAGAGGTCTTTGTGGCATTTATGGATTTGGAAAAGGCGTATGACAGGGTGGATAGGGGGACAATGTGGCAGATGTTGCAGGTGTATGGTGTAGGAGGTAGGTTACTGAAAGCAGTGAAGAGTTTTTACGAGGATAGTGAGGCTCAAGTTAGAGTATGTAGGAAAGAGGGAAATTATTTCCCAGTAAAAGTAGGCCTTAGACAAGGATGTGTGATGTCACCGTGGTTGTTTAATATATTTATAGATGGGGTTGTAAGAGAAGTAAATGCGAGGGTCTTGGCAAGAGGCGTGGAGTTAAAAGATAAAGAATCACACATAAAGTGGGAGTTGTCACAGTTGCTCTTTGCTGATGACACTGTGCTCTTGGGAGATTCTGAAGAGGAGTTGCAGAGATTGGTGGATGAATTTGGTAGGGTGTGCAAAAGAAGAAAGTGAATACAGGAAAGAGTAAGGTTATGAGGATAACAAAAAGATTAGGTGATGAAAGATTGGATATCAGATTGGAGGGAGAGAGTATGGAGGAGGTGAATGTATTCAGATACAGTGGACCCCCGGTTAACGATATTTTTTCACTCCAGAAGTATGTTCAGGTGCCAGTACTGACCGAATTTGTTCCCATAAGGAATATTGTGAAGTAAATTAGTCCATTTCAGACCCCCAAACGTACACGTACAAACGCACTTACATAAATACACTTACATAATTGGTCGCATTCGGAGGTGATCATTATGCGGGGGTCCACTGTATTTGGGAGTGGACGTGTCAGCGGATGGGTCTATGAAAGATGAGGTGAATCATAGAATTGATGAGGGGAAAAGGGTGAGTGGTGCACTTAGGAGTCTGTGGAGACAAAGAACTTTGTCCTTGGAGGCAAAGAGGGGAATGTATGAGAGTATAGTTTACCAACGCTCTTATATGGGTGTGAAGCATGGGTGATGAATGTTGCAGCGAGGAGAAGGCTGGAGGCAGTGGAGATGTCATGTCTGAGGGCAATGTGTGGTGTGAATATAATGCAGAGAATTCGTAGTTTGGAAGTTAGGAGGAGGTGCGGGATTACCAAAACTGTTGTTCAGAGGGCTGAGGAAGGGTTGTTGAGGTGGTTCGGACATGTAGAGAGAATGGAGCGAAACAGAATGATTTGAAGAGTGTATCAGTCTGTAGTGGAAGGAAGGTGGGGTAGGGGTCGGCCTAGGAAAGGTTGGAGGGAGGGGGTAAAGGAGGTTTTGTGTGCGAGGGGCTTGGACTTCCAGCAGGCATGCGTGAGCGTGTTTGATAGGAGCGAATGGAGACAAATGGTTTTTAATACTTGACGTGCTGTTGGAGTGTGAGCAAAGTAACATTTATGAAGGGGTTCAGGGAAACCGGCAGGCCGGACTTGAGTCCTGGAGATGGGAAGTACAGTGCCTGCACTCTGAAGGAGGGGTGTTAATGTTGCAGTTTAAAAACTGTAGTGTAAAGCACCCTTCTGGCAAGACAGTGATGGAGTGAATGATGGTGAAAGTTTTTCTTTTTCGGGCCACCCTGCCTTGGTGGGAATCGGCCAGTGTGATAATAAAAAAAAAATCTGTGTCCTTTCATCTAACATTTTGTAGGTAATTCTACCATCATTACAACATAGCCTCTTCATCTGAGCCTATAGAATTTGCAGCATTTCACTTGCAACACCTTTTTCTTCGCAAATTTCTACTCAACTGAAGAGTACAACACATTATGTAAAACCGAAGTCTAAAGACTATCATTCTTCCCATAGGTCAAAAAGCAATCCACACTGCACCTAATATCTGGAAGTTGAACATCATGTTGCAGTAATACCCTTCAAAACATTCAAGGACATTGATTATCCAACTGCACCTACACTATCCCCTGTGCCATGAGTGGCAAGTATTACACCAGTGAAACTGCACTTAGCCTTGATGTCAGATTTCATGAAGATACATGTATACAGGCTACATATCACAATATTATTATTATTATGAGGAAAGCACTAAACCCATAGGGGTCATTGTGCCTGGGGTATGGGAAGCAATTGGTTTCAATCCAAGGGGAAGACAAGTTCAATTCCTTGGATCAAGAGAGCAACCTGTTTCATACAGAGACAAACTCACATACCTCATAGCATGGAACAAGGCCAAGCTCATCTTAATAGGGTTAGGAAGATATGCTAAGAAGCAGTCAATACCAGGGTACATAACACCAAACAGAATCAGGGCGCTGTCAGCCTAACCAAACCTCTTGGTGACCTTCCTATATATGGTCCCACACAAACCTCGGACCTAATCTACTGCTTTTGTTGTCAATGAATATGACATGACCTCTCCTAGCATCCACCTCATTAGGATACATATTCAAGTAGTACTTTTGGGGTTTTCTGCAGACTGGACGAAACCAAATTCTGAGTGAAACGTTTAAATCAGAGGCTTGCTTTGACTTGCCTATAATGTACGAGTATCAGTCATGGCATAAGAATGCCTAGCATGGGCCAGTAGATCTGCTGCAGTGCTACTTTTATAAGAACATAAGAACGAAGGAACACTGCAGAAGGCCTACTGGCCCATACGAGGCAGGTCCAAGTCTCCTACCGGCTTAAGCCAATGCACCCAACCTAGTCAGGTCAGGTCACATTGACTTAAGGGAGGAACACGGCAACCGACCTGGTAGCACAAGCTATTAGGTCCAACTCACACCCACCCACATCCACTCATGTATTTATCCAACCTATTTTTAAAGCTACACAACGTTCTGGCCTCTATAACTGTACTCGGGAGTTTGTTCCACTCATCCACAACTCTATTACCAAACCAGTACTTTCCTATATCCTTCCTGAATCTGAATTTTTCCAACTTAAAACCATTGCTGCGTGTCCTGTCTAGGCTAGATATTTTCAGCACACTATTTACATCCCCTTTATTTATTCCTGTCTTCCATTTATACACCTCAATCATATCCCCCCTAATTCTACGTCTTTCTAGAGAGTGCAGTTTCAGGGCCCTTAGTCTTCCTCATAGGAAGGTTTCTGATACATGGGATCAACTTTGTCATCCTCCTTTGTACATTTTCCAGAGAATTTATATCCATTCTGTAATACGGTGACCAAAACTGTGCAGCATAATCTAAATGAGGCCGAACCAAGGATGTATAGAGTTGAAGAACAACCTGAGGACTCCTATTATTTATGCTTCTTGATATGAAGCCAAGGATTCTATTAGCTTTATTGCGAACACTTATGCACTGTTGTCTTGGTTTCAGATTACTGCTAACCAGAACTCCTAAATCTTTTTCGCAATCCGTAATATTAAGATCTACATTATTTAGTTTATATGTGGCATGGTTATTGTCCTGTCCAACATTAGAACTTTGCATTTGTCTATATTAAACTGCATCTGCCACTTCTCCGACCACTGCATCAGTCTATTCAAATCTTCCTGGAGTGCTCGAATGTCCTCGTCAGAATGAATTCGACGGCCTATTTTGGTGTCATCGGCAAACTTGCCGATGTCGCTCTTTATGCCCTCATCTATGTCGTTTATGTAGATTGTGAACAACAGGGGGCCCAACACTGACCCCTGTGGAACACCGCTCGTGACGCTTCCCCACTCTGATTTCTCCCCATTTATGCAAACTCTCTGCTGCCTATTTGTCAACCATGCCTCTATCCAGGAAAAAATTTCTCCTATTCCATGTGCTTTAATTTTCCTCAATAGTCTCTGATGTGGGACCCTGTCAACATTATCTCATTATTAGCAGTACATTTGATACACAGACATGTTTATCACGCCCGCATGTCCTTTGCTTTAATACAACCACCAGTCCTGATAATACATTACAACCTATTCCAAATTTAACTTATCCATTAACTTGAGTGTCTTTAATGAGGAAACGTTTCGCCACACATTGGCTTCTTCATACAAAGAATAATGGTGAAAATCGTGAGTTTGAGGTAATCAGTCGGGAGTCGACGTAATCAGTCAGTATGACTACTGAACCTTGTAAAAGGTGAATGACCGCTTCACAACCCACAAGACTCTCATCCCCCGACCTTTACAATCAACGATGCACCAAAAGTTCAGCATTGTTGGCATAAAATAAAAAAAAAAAACACTTCTGGTATATGCGATGCGAGTCATACTTATACTCAGTTATCTTGATTTGTGTATTTAACCTAGTATGTAAATTTAAACAGCGCTTCCTTTAATATTTTCTGCTTCGCATGGGCCAGTAGGCGTGCTGCAGTGCTCCTTTCTAATGTTCTTAACAATTTTACTTGGCAGTTTATTTCGCTTCTGCATAACTACTGAAAATTCAAAATAATATCATATCCATTTTTCTTCAAAATGGTATTCAGTTAAAGGGCACCATAGTTTTCAACACCTCTCGGCTACCCATTGTTTGAAAAAAAAAGGTCACAAGAAAAAATAACAGGAAAAAAAATCACAGGAAAAAAGCCACAAAAAAGTCACAGGAAAAAGCCACATTAAAGTCACAATTTTAAAGGACCCCAACGGAAATAAGTCAGTGTCTGACTTTTTTGGGTTATCCTACACATATGCTGCTATGTATGATAATCTATGTAACTGTATTTGTGTATACCTGAATAAACTTACTTGGCAAAGAAAAAAAAGTCACATTTTATTTACGTTAGATTGCGACTTTTTCCAGGATCCGATTACATCATCCACTACTTCGTATACAATGAGTTTGTTGGCAAGAAGTGTGACAGAATCCCCGTAAAATTTAACCAAGACGAAATATTACTGCTTCAATCACAACTTAAATCACTCAGGACTTAATCTGGATACATTACGTATCCCCCCCCCCTCCCGCTTATATAAAACACGCTTAAAAAATTTTAAAGACCCTGTCACGTGTTGCAAATCAAGGTCACTTTTCGAGGCCACGACGTTCAGAGCCTGGATGTTGGTTAAGGGCTCTTGATCCAATTAAATATAAACACCTTCCCCCTTTTTGACTATCTCCCATTCCCGAGGTGTTGCAAGGGCCTTGTGGATTTAGCGATTCCCCATACAATTATCTCGAGGACACTATTTTCGGACTGACAAATAATAGTGGAAATGTTCCAAAAAGAATAAATCCTTGACAATAACATTATTCATGATACACGTATATATTTGAATGTTGCTGGGGCTTGTTCAGACATCGTGCTGCCGGAAGTGTTGTATCGTTTTTATTTTTCTAATATATTTACTTGTGGTTAAAAATACCTACAATCAAGAAAAAATGTTTCTAATTACAGAAAACGTTCAAAAATTGGCCCTGGGAAGCAAGTAATAAACGATGTGAAGAATGATACATTGTACAAAAAAAAAAATATTTATGTACCAGTGTTGTACCAGTCTAAGTCACACAGACGACACCTTATTTCTGCCCTGGAATATGTTGTTAGTAATATATCCTAACCAATGGACTATCACACATGATCTGTAGTGAATACAAATTACAAAGTACACCTCCGTATTGAAAGGAAATATTGCAATACATATCTACAATTAGCAAACGTGAACACAAACGTTACAAAATGTATCGCTAGTAAAAACGTTACAAAATGCATCGCTAGTAAGAAACGTTACAAAATGCATCGCTAGTAAAAAACGTTACAAAATGCATCGCTAGTGAAAAACGTTACAAAATGCATCGCTAGTGAAAAACGTTACAAAATGCATCGCTAGTAATAAACGTTACAAAATGCATCGCTAGCGAAAAACGTTACAAAATGCATCGCTAGTAATAAACGTTACAAAATGCATCGCTAGTGAAAGCAAAATTTGTAGAACTCATCTATGTAGTGAAAAGGTTACAAAATGTGTCTACGTTATGAAAAGAAAGGTTACAAAATACACATTTGTAGGGAAAACATTACAAAGTACATACACTGCAACACAGTGAAAACAAACTACAAAATATATCAACATGTGATCCTTGTATATGCAGGATGTGGTGTACTGGATACGAGGGAGATAAAGTTAACCACACTACCTGTGTTTGGAACGCATAATTTGCATGTAACCTTTAGGAAACAAACATTGGATACTCTTAACATTCCAGCACCGATTACCCAGAGCTCTTCAAACAAAACAAAAAAACTAATATCAGATGACTGAAATTGGCATCCAGTTGGCTGAACAGTAGTAGTTCATTACACGCTGTCTTACCTTTTAAACAACTGGGAGCGTAAAATGATCTAACTTTGCTAGACAGTAATCGGAAATGCTTCAACACACACTCCCGCATGTATATGTAATATACATATGACTTCTCTCTTGAATGCTTATGTAATATACATATGCCAGTCACAAAGTACAGATAGAGCTTATCTGCGTTCGTACTGTCTGTAGTGTGGCGGTGTACTGATGCTCACTTCTCAGTGGATAGTGGACCTCACACCCTGTCTTGGGGAACCCCCCTTCACCACCTTACGTTTCCGCTCTTGTATCTCCTTTAAGGGGATGCCTAGATGCTGGTGAAGAACTCTTGCTCTATGGCAATGGAGCTACCCTCCTCTTCATTTGATTAAACCACATTGTCTCTACCCCGTCAACCCCATTTCCCAGCTGTTATATATCCTCTAAGTCTAAGAGGTATAGCGTTTCACTATTAGTATAATAATAATCTTCTATTTTGGTGATTAGACACTAATGAACAAGGTAAATACAGATACCGAGAGATGTATAGCTGTGTAAATATAGTACACTGAGAATACTGTACTTCAATCCTAATTTCTGGGATTAAATAACCTTGACTGGTGTACAGGTAACTGTAGCATTTACGGGCCACGTGTAGTCGTTAGGCCTCAAATTAAACCTAACAAATGAATTAATCACCGAAAGGGGGGTTGGAGAAGAGGGGATCAATGAGAAAAACTAGCAAAGTGGCTTCAGATGAATAATGGTAAATTCTAAGAACAGGAAAAAAATTAAAGGAACAAGGAAAATTTTAAGAACAGAATTTCTCATGGACAGGTTGAGTAATGCGTATGTCAGAGGATCTCTGTATATAATTAGTGTGAGGTAGTTCGCACTTACAACAGGTTTACGTGTCGCATGTGGTAAGGTTCGTTGGTATAATCTAAAATATGTCATGTAATGTGTCTGTCTCGCGACTAGCGAACAAAAGATGGAGCCTCCACCACTCCTTGTGCTGAATGATTCACTGTAGTTTGGCTCTTTATATATATAAAATACAACAGAAATATTGTAATTGGCAGTCTAAGTTGTGGTTTGTAAATTCGGTGATGAGATATGGTGTTCCATGCCCAGCAACCACCACAAACTACACTTCACAGCTGGCTGCTTGCCATCCACTTCTTCAAATGCGTTCCCTGTAAAATCCGTTCCTGCACACCTCCTGATAGTATAAATTGAACACGTACATAACACTAGACACGAAGCCTCGTAAAAAAAAAAAATGCAAAAGCAAGAGTAGCCACATGTGAGACCAAATGCAAGAATTGTCTGCCACTATTTAATTGTAACCCACATGATGCAAGAGCTGACGAAACTATGCATACAAAGGGCTCTTCAGACGTCACATACTCTGTAGATTTTTTTATTCACAATGAATGATCCTTTAATCATTGTGACCACGTAAGCCTTATTCATAAGTAACTAAGGCTTTGAGGAAGTGTATCTATTTATCTGAATTATTCTGTAATAAAAATTAATAAGTTTCAAATGATTATAGGGTGTATTGATCGAGGCAGTGGGCCAGCGTTCTACGTCTGAGCTCAACACAAAAAAAAAAAACTTGTTCAACCTGTCCTGACCACAACAACGCCACACTTGACTAGCATACCTACCCCTCCTCCCTTACCATGAACTTGGTTCTATACTCCTGAGCTGGGAGAAACAGGATCACTTTCTAGCAAGTTCAAGAAAAACAAACAAAAAAATAACACTGAACTGCATATGCCAAACCATGATGGAATTTTAATAAACAGTCCATTACTGAACATCAGTTGCAGCCAATAAACCAGTGGAAGGTTTCAGTCATATGACCAAAAGCTCAACGAAGAGAGTCATCCTATGATTAAATTAAGACACGTGGCAGGAAAAAAAATCCTATTTCCCCTAACAATGGAAATACAACCACTACCGTCCTTTGAGTAGTGGGAACCTGGACTGCAGCTTGCTTAGAAAACAATTGAAAAAGCTCCGTATCGAGTTAAGAGCACAGATGGAAGATTTAAAGAAGAAAGTGAAGATTATCAGAGAGGAGAATAAATTAACATTTAGAAGAAAAATCTTTTTTACTAACAAATGAACCATTATATTTACACTAATGACAGGCGTGACGTGAAGTGTACAACTGAATGAGTCATAATTAAAAGGTGTAAATATAGTGCTGAAAATAAAATAAAATAAAATAAAATGGGTAATAATGGATTAAAATATAAACTTTTACATTCTGAACATTTCAAATGAGGCTCTTGATCCAAGAAATTGGAGTTACCCTCCCGTTAGAATTAAGCCTAATCCTCATCCTGTAGGCGATGTACGACGCCATTCTGTTGTTTACTAAAAAAATATTAATTTAACAAGAGGTAGCACGACTGCAGCTACCATGATCATGTTTCACCTATTACCCCTGCTCACCTAGCAATACATAGGTACCTGGATGTTCGCCAAATGTGGTTGGCACCTTGGGAAAGAGGACCAAAATATCACAATAAAAATTAGTATTTCGGTGGCTGCGCGATCATAAAAAAAAGGTACACCCATACTGCATAAACCCAGTCCCATGTACTTCAATATATGTGACTGGAATAGTGCAGAGTGCGGCAAAAATTTGTAGCGTTGAAGATTCGAAGCAAATCAGAAGAGGCATTCACAAATCACAGTATTATTATTATTATTATTATTATTATTATTATTATTATTATTATTATTATCAGCATCAAAATGAAGCGCTGAACCTACAAGGGTCATCCGTCACAAAGCACATGGAAACTAATATTAAAATTTCAATAAATTATATTACATTCAGAAATTATCGCATGAAAAGCAGCATTTCAAACTTCCAAATTTCACCCCTCCCCCCTTCTCCACAAAATGGGACCTAAACAGGCCAAAACCAACTGTAATATTTCTCTAAGACTGCCCAGCTTTCAATCAAGTGCGGGTCCGAACATGATAATCATGTCCATGAGGATGCGATCCACAAAAGTCGACTGACTCCTAGGTAGTGTATTTATTTATTACTAGGTAACAGGGGCAGTAGCTGTTAAAAGACAACCAAACGTCCCACCTTATCCTGGGCTCCACACAGGAACTTCGTGGTTGTGAGCCTAGCAGCTACCTACGAGGATCCTGGGCTCAACACAGGATTTTCGTGGTTGTGAGCCTAGCACGCTACCAATGCTACGAGGATCCTGGGTTCCACACAGGATTTTCGTGGTTGTGAGCCTAGCACGCTACCAATGCTACGAGGATCCTGGGCTCCACACAGGATCTTCGTGGTTGTGAGCCTAGCACGCTACCAATGCTACGAGGATTCTGTGAATTTTTGCATTATTATTCATCTTCCCTGCTTTAACTCATAACACGGATCTCTCTCCTGCTTTAACTCATAACACGGATCTCTCTCCTGCTTTAACTTTAACATAACACGGATCTCTCTCCTGCTTTAACTCATAACACGGATCTCTCTCCTGCTTTAACTTTAACATAACACGGATCTCTCTCCTGCTTTAACTCATAACACGGATCTCTCTCCTGCTTTAACTTTAACATAACACGGATCTCTCTCCTGCTTTAACATAACACGGATCTCTCTCCCGCTTTAACTCATAACACAGTTGTCTATGTAAATATGTTGAAACAACGAATCCAGTTTCGACCCCACGCAGCTTCCTCAAAACCCACTCATACGGGTTATCATACATTTCTTTTTTTTAAGCAAATCTTTTATTAGGTTAAAACAGTAAATTAGTATGGTCCATTCAGATTATTTCTCACAGAGATACATTTGCTACAATAGTAAGTTAATAGAATACATTATATCATGATATGCGCATTATATCATAGATATGCACAGCATTTCGGGCAGTCTAAAACTAGGACTAATACTAGCTGTATACAAATAAAAAATATATTTATTGGGCACTGTATATATGTAAATATAGGTCACATTAAAACATAAATCAACATGGTACTGGGGTAGTGGAGAGTCGATCCTCAGTCTTCTAAACCCTGGATGGGGCAATATTTCAACGGGTACTCTAGCCCCTCTGTGTATGTGGGAACACTGCGGGTGTGGGTGATGCAATGGGTGAGGCAGCCCCATGAGAGACAAGATTGATGTGATGGTTGTTGCGAGGCAGCCCGCTGAAAGAGACGAGCAGCCTGCGTTTCTTTCAACAAGTTTGGGTACACCCGTAGTGTGCGGTTCGATTGCTAGCGCACTCAGCTCGCACTGACGTCCAGAGGTCGATCCCCGGTACGGGTGGAAACATTAGGACGTGTTTCCTTAAGGCACCCGATATGGTTCCATGGTCACCTATCTGTAAAATAGGTACTTGGGTGTTAGTCGACTGGCGTAGGTCGCATCTTGAGGACAAAACTGACCTAATTAGCCCGAAATGCTCTACATAACAAGAGGCTTTCAATATAGTAGTATGTTACTGATGTCAACCAGGCCTGTACACTTAGTACATGTACTTGTAAAAATAGAGATTATTATTAATATTAATTATGCTTGATGAGAGTTGACGGAGTTACATGTTCACATTCCTCATATCTTAGTTCTCTCAACACAAAGAGATACCCAAGCGTTGCACATGCGTCTTATTCATCAATGTAACTACACATATAATAAAACTATCAAATTGTCTTTATAAGATTTTAAAGAGACGACAGCTGGATGTGTGTTCTCTATCGGCTAAGGTTGGGACTGCTTTTGGAATGGGCCAGACTTGGCATTGGCTAGGCTTGGATCGGGCCTGACTTAAAATGGGCCAAGTGCAGACCAAGAGAGAGGAGTAAGGTATGAGGGTAGAGGTGGACATGGTGTTGCGTTGTTGCTGCCGCTGCTGCGACCTTCAACTGGTACAGTCCTACGTCTTACCTCGCCTTCGTTATCCCTCTTAGCCCCTCCTTTTTATCCATCTCGAATCTTCATCTATCTTTGGCCCCTTTTTATCCATCTCAGATCCTTGTTACCCATCTTAGACCACTTTTATTCATCTCAGACCCCTATCCATTTCAGCTCATCTCAGACCCCTATCCATTTCAGCTCATCTCAGACTCTTGTTATCCATCTTAGATCCTTATTATCCATCTCAAATCCTTGTCTTCTATCTGGGATCCATGTTACTTATCCCCTCACCCTTATCCTCTAAGGACAGAACAGCATAGCCAGA